TTGGCGAACGTTGGCATTTGTGAGTGCGACGGCCGAGATCGAATCCGGCGGTGGAACACTGTGTCGGGCGATGGAACGCTGACGGCGCGATTCATCAAAACTCTGGCAGAGGCTTACGAGGATTGCCACCATGTTCGGGCTTTTCGCTAGCAGCATCTGGAATGCGCCATCCTATGCCCTTGAGAATCTGCAGTATTTTCACTTCTTCGGGCATAGATGGATTCACACGCCTGTAGAGGTCGAGCACGTCCTCTATGTAACTAGTAAACGTCTCGCCAGGCTGCTGGGCTCGGTGGCGCAGGCGCTGGTCAGCGCGGAGCTTGCGGACCTCTGGTCGGCCGAACGCTTCAGTCACGAGGGTCTTAAAGGAGGACCAGTTGGCGATGGCGGTTTCGCGGTTCGTAAACCAAAGTTTAGCTACGTCTGCCAAGTAAAAGATAACGTAGGCGAGCTTAGAGTCGTCGTCCCACTTGTTGCTGGCGCTTACGCGTTCGTACAAGGAGAGCCAGTCTTCGACGTCTTGCTCACCACTGCCGCTGAAGATTGGTGGGTCCCGTTGGCGAGTAGCGCCGGGGCAGGTAGACGGGACAGCCGGTGGTGCTGGCTGTGTTGGGATGGGCTGGTTGGCGACTGCGTCAGTCGTGTTTCGCGGTGGTCTCTCGGGCAACTTGCGAGAGCGGAGCTCCAGGTCTGCTTGGGGATCTCAGCAGCCTCCACCAAATGTGATGACGTTTATTGAGCCGGAGAAGTCGCAACGAAAAATGGCCGTACGACAAGTCTGGCAAAGGCGGCCCAGGTTCTCGTGCAATCAGAGCACGGGGTTTTTTCCTTCTCTTTGGAAGGCGCATACACGTTAGTGCGTATGCTCCACTACAGCATGCTCAACGCTTGCCAGGGTTCGGCAGCGACTGTAGGCCCAGCTCAACGGAACTTGCGAGTGAATTTGTGGAGGACAGTGCGCTTTTCGCATAAGAAAAGGCTTTACATGCATGTAAACCTGCATGTTTCCAGGAAAAAGAATAAAAGCATTCACAAAATGCAGTTTGATTTATCAAAAAAAAAAAAATTAGTATCTTTTTCGAAGCTACTACTATAGCTGTTTAAGTCAAAATATAGTTATATTAGAACACAGTCTCCATGTGAGCGGACGCATTGCCTTAAGGAGCAGACTGGTCTTTGAAACCAAAAAGTGACAAAAAATTTATTCTTTAAAATTGACATATTTGGTTTCTGCAAGTATTTTTCTATCTCTCTGAACATTTTCACACACCAGGAAGTGATAATTGTTTTGCAATGTCATTCTAACTGTCCATGTGCTTGGTGCTGTTAACGCGCAGAACCTGCGAAAAAATGGGGAACCGACTTCGAGGCTTCTTTATAATTTGCCCGCACCTGTGTTAGAAGCTTTGCTACGAATTTATGAGAACCTTTTATGAGGATTGCAAAATATGCACATATTGATTGTTGTTTTTTGAAGAAGCTGTGTGTTTTCAGTTTTTGTATTTTTTTCAAAAATTAAATTTATGACTGTTCAATTTTGAGGCCTCAATATCTGTGCAGCTAAAGCAGGCACAACAGTAATTCTTTTTGCAATGGAAACCTGTATGTGTGTGGAATGCAAGTATAGGGGCAGAATTTAGAACACAAGCCTTTTTTAATTATTTACTCATCGAAATTGTAACAAGTCCAATGGCTTTTGAAAATGGATAGTCCATTTTGCTATAAAATGACCAAGAAAAGCTTAAAAAAACTGTTGCGTACTTTAAATCAATAGTCATTAGTCTATGTTGGCATATCTTAAATATCACTTTAATTAAGCACTTTTTTTCCTATGGCGGCCTTATAATTATAAATTTGAAATCATAAGAAGAACTGCATAGTCCTGTGCAGTTTGATTAAGATCACTTAAGAAATAAACAAAAAAAAATGTCTGAGACCAGTCTGCCCGCTTAAACCATATTTTCAAGTTTGACTTTTACTTTGTGCAACTTATTACAGATAGAATGAGCATAAAAATTACACACAAGGTATTCACCAACCACAATAATTCACTCTAAAAACTGTTTAAAATCCAGAAATATTGCAGTTTTATGTGCTCAGAAATGGTGTGGCTGTACATAACGTTACTTTTCATTCATCATATTTACATAACAACCTATCTGCACATCCTGGCTCCAACACAAGGTTCAAAGGCGTCTCCAATTTTGGAGCAGGCTTTCTGCATCTTCCTGTGAAGGCAAACGATGTTGCTTAACAAGTTCATATGCACTTTGGAGCAAAACAAAAGAAAAAGAAAACACGACAACTTTTCCTGGCACACCGTCGCTTGTTCGCATAATGTCCAAGTGAAATGAAGTGCGTATTTATTCAGGAAAAAGAATGTTTCGTCCAGCACTTTGAAGTGTTTTGAAGTGCAATAGAAAATTCAAATTGTTCCGTACATCTCAGCTGGCTGCTCCTTGTGATTCTACGCTAGCACATAACGTATAGAATCAGGCTGAGAGCTGGGCTAGTTGGTGACCGATCATTATACCCCGTGGTGAATGAAGTAAGCGCACATTTTACAGATACAAGAAGTAGAAGATTGACATGACACTCGCAACAAAATTTATTTCAGAAAAAATACCTTACAAGTATGCACCCATGCTAACTCCGAGCGACACAGAAATGAAATAACACTCACTGAAAATTTATCAAATATCAAATTTTGCACATTTATTAAAATGCTTGCGGCATGTGTAGAAATGAGTTTAATAGCATTTTTATCCACGAAACACATTTTGGCGCATCCTCAGGCGATAAAAACGGAGCACGTGCAGCCTATACACTTCAAAGAAATATTAACGCAAACCTAAAAAAGTTTACAGTCCAGGGTAATCTGCAAGACGTTCAGATGGAATTTACACGCACTCAACACCAAATTTTTTCTGAAATAAGTTTAGCCACGAGTGTACCATGTGTCGTGTATTTCTTGTTCCAGTTGTTGCTGTTGTCACTGTTTTTTAAAAAATCTGTGTACTTTTAACCATATGGTATGACAATATGTATATACCTCTGTCATTTGGTGGTGACTGGCCGTTCAGGTCATTTTCGGCAAATGGCGCTTTCGAGGTTAGACTTCCGTTGTTGCTGGTCGTTTGGACACTTTGTCACTTCATTTTACTCCTGCCCTTGACAGTTGATTTGCGATTTAGAAAAATTGTCATGACAGCACCTGCCAGAAGCACCGATCTTCCACGAGGAATACTTACCTTTTTACCATCAATGATACGAGTGTACTCTCTGAGGACAAAATGCGGCCTAGGATGCCATTCCTCTTCCATAGGCTTCTTTATTTGTCTTGAGGGATGTTGAAAAGGGACGCTTTTCAGCACACCTTTCACACGGCTCTAACCAGTCCGGCACCACAACGCGAAACAGTGATGGATGCTGCTCAGTAGCCATATTTGCTTATACCTTAGCATGAGCATGACAGCAGAGACAGTTGTTGATGCAAATCATGACAATCTCAATGACAAAAACCAGTCGACTTGCAGCCTCGTATAACACGCCCACAGCAAGAGAGCGGCAGCTGGGAAGGAGCGGGCGTGCGAGGCATCAAAAGGTAACTGTAGCAGCACCTCTAGTGGCTCCCTGTACCGGCGATGTAAGCGGCTTCAGAGAGCCTTACGGAGAGCATAGGGCAGAGAGCACGCTACCCCCTTATAGTACAGATGTACTTTGCACACATTACTTCAAATGTCACTTTCAAGATAGGGCAAGCATCTGCGATGCTGAAGTAATAAGTAGCTTGGAGGACATAGAGTTTCATACAATAATACCTAGAGGAGAATCTGGCGCTAGTGTCTACGCGGGCTGCTTCAGCGAAGCTTGTACCCCATGGGAATCATTCGGAGTACAGGCTTCGGATCTGCTTCAATGGACCAGGTTCTTGAGATTCGCGATGCTTGTTTGCTGAGTGTAAAACAAAGTAATATGAAGTTATGTCTAATTGAAACTTACTTCACTTTTTTGTATACAAACTTTATTGCAAAAGGTTTTTGTGACTAGGCAGTACAAGTGAAACCTGGACAAATTTAACCACCAGGGTATGCATTGCTCTGCCATTGCGTTCTAGATTTGGCATCAAGATGTAATGAATTATTCTTTACAACATTTGAAAAATTAATATTATTGTTTTGCCCTAGAAAGTATGCAACATATATTTATGAAAATAACCGCACAGTATTAAGTGAGAAACACTTAGCCTTTTGTCTGCTGCGATGCCAGGTGCATCTGTTCAAGTGATCTGCCCCCAACGTACCTCTCGTTTTGTTGTGCAGTCGAGTCAGAAGAGCATGGCAGTGTGTCTACTTCGTGTCGCCGTCGTTTTGCAGTTGATTTCGATGAGTTTTGGTGAACTCGATGTAATATTTTGCACTGGCATGGGACACTACATCTAAGTGCAGCAATGAGTGGACGGCGCTTTGCTAGAACTGTCAAACACGACTTATACTGCTCCAGTGTTGCAGTAAATTGAGAGGCCTAGCAGTTTTCAGCTTCTTTGAACAACAAAGGCGCAGCTTCAGTCCTTTGCACCCACCCCACTACCCACTCTATGCGAAGAACGAAACTGAAACTGTAGAAAAAGATTCGTTGACAGTTCCCTGGCTAATGCGATCCGATCCGAAGCCTGCACTTCCCATAATTACCACGAAAGTAAACGATCGCAGCGCCAGATTCCTCTCTAGGTAATATTGTATGAAACTATGCTTGGAGATTTTCGGATTGTAACAACTAAAGGATGTGTATAAAATTGAATAGGTCGCGAATTGCACACATGAGCATGTATGGCCGAATTGTTTTAAGTTGGCACCCTGCAAAGGAAAGGGTAGGTTACGTACCTTAGGTAAAATCTCCTTTAAGGTATCATTTTTCTCAGTACACAAGGTCATGGCAAAGACAAAAATGCACCACCTATGTAATTGCTACTGTAATAATAATAAAAAAACACACACAAGCAGGAGGTGATCGCCACTTCATTTATTACGTCTCTCCTCAGCCAGAAATTGTTGCATTTACTCAGTTTGAATAAAAAAAAGGTGGGAGGGAGAGAACAACATTGTTTTCAAAAAATTTGAATGGAATTCTCACATACGCACTGAATTGTTGCTCGTAGCACTGCGATACCAACTGCATCGCAATGAACGAAAAAAAAAACAAAAACAAAGAAGCACAGTCTGCTCACAGGCGTGCACAACAGAGGGCAGCACTGGCAAACAGGACTTGCTGTTCCTGAGAGTTCCTTTTTGCTGTGCAGCAGGCGTTGCATGGTGAGTGAGCTGCTTGTTGGGCTTGTGTGGTGCGCTTCCATAACGTGCTGTTAAATGGCACAGCTTCTCAGAAGAACAGCCCCCTGCCCATGCGTCGTCCCATGCCCTTTTAAAAAAAGGAGATCAAACAAGAAAAGATGCGTGAACTGATTGCAACATTCTGAACACATTGAAATTCGACCAGTTCTGCTTCTCAAACACTGATGAAAGAGCGAAACTGGTGGCATTTACTTCGTCAGGCTAACGCATTTCCACGTTCTGAAAGTCCGTCGGATATGTAGCATCACTGTTCTCCATTACACACTCTTCTTTTAATAATAATAATAAGCATTGTCTCTATCAATATTGTGGCCACTGTGGACGGGACCTGCAGGTCAGCAGTTGATTGCCATAACCACCAAACGACCGTGGCGGGTAACTGCAAGCAGTCACAATGGAAGACCACCAATAAATGCGTGACAAGTACTAGTTAGGTGTTTATAAATCACAGCCTTCTTTAGAATGTCCTGGAATTACCAAGAATGAAGCGTGGAAGAACTTTCATGAAGGCAAATGCCTGTGAAACAATAAAACAAGGCTACCATCTTTGTAGGAAATAGATTTGCCGCAAATATGTGTGATGTCAGTAGATGCAACATTTCTACACACATAAGACCAACTCTGTTAATTAAGTTACCACGTCAAAACAATGACGTGCCCTGAACAATGTACAGTAGCCTCTTGTTAAACCGAACCTGAAGGGACTGACAAAGCATGTTCTGTTTAAAAGGAGTTTTGTTTGCTGATAGTAAAACAGGAATGTAGATACAAGAACGAGACCATTTTTGTCAGAAACATTTGTTCCGTATATGCCGCAGTTCTGTTTACATAGAGTCTGCCATATAATAACCTTAGAGGTTTCGTACGTGAAACAATAAATTGCAATTTTCAGTGACAGCATAGTAAAGAGTGCAGATCAAGGGATAATATAAGCCCCAGAAATAAAAAAAAAGAGGGAGGGGGGTAAATGTTCCAAAACAATGTTCACACGACACAGTTCAACTTGCCACATACTCTAACATGCAGTGAAGCATATAGAGTATATTTTTTCAGTACAGACAATGCAAAATGGTAGCTTCCATTCAATGGCATATATGCAATAGAAAAACTGGAGCATGCAATTGAAAGTTGATATTAGTGTGAGCAGCACACAACAATGCGGTATCCTGACAGACATAGTATTTTCCTATCAATGCAGTCAAGTGCAGTGCAAAAAGATATGTTCCTGTCTTATCAACTACTTAGCATACAAGCTTAGGAGCATTGGCGAAACACTGGAAGAAACGTAGCGCAATAGAAGACGGGCACACAAGGAAAGGCAACACATACAATGCGCATTCGTCAACAGGGACTGCACTACGTTTCTTATGATGAAAGCAAACCAGGTGACCCAACTTCCTACTCTTGTAAAGGAGCTACTAAAGCTTTTCTCTCGGGAGTAGCTCAAAGGGACTGGGGAGTAGGCGGGAATAAACGTACCTGTCGGTCGTAGAGGAGATTGAATTTGTTGACGAACTGGTTGATGATGTTGCAGCCCTTGGTGAGGGTGCCCAGGTAAGTCATGAGGGCCACATCGTTGCACTGGTTGTAGAACTGGCCCTGGAAGCTGGGCGTGTGCAGCACGGGCAGCCGGTGGCAGAGACTGAACGCGTCCCGCAGCACCTCGTGATTGGCTGGTTGGGTGCCCGCAGACACTGCCTTCACGTACTCCAGCACCAGGCGCACCCGGCTGTGCAACATCTTGATGGCGCTGTGCTGGGCCTGCGAACGCGTTACGCTGATGCTGACAACTAGAAGAGCTACGTAGTAGGTCGTTGTACACAATTACGTGTAAAATGTGCAAGTGAACCCAGACAAACGCATGGAAGAGTCACACAAAAATGACACGTGTGAAAACTGACAATTGATGTTTTGATGAGTGTGTCCTTTTAGGGTGTTCTTGTTTGCAAACTCGGTTTACTATCTATTTTCTGTGGCTCAGCACCAACTCTGCTACGCAAACACACAATAAAAATGTGTTTTTTCTAGCCTCTACAACAACAACAGTAGCGGGGGTTACAAGCTCCTGAACCCGTAAACTAGCATTGCTTAGGCATCACAACAATGGTAGCCGGCCTAAAGGGATCCACAAATGATCAAACTGGCTGAAAAATAACCATCATCACTAGCTGCTGTAAAGCTTGCGTGCGTGTGTTTTCTTTTTGCAACCGCGTGTTTGAACTTTTAGGGCATTATTATCAGTACCATATTTGGGAATTTGGAGCGAGATAGGTTAGTGATTCAGTGACAACTATGCCTTTGCACTTAGCAGCCGTTTGTGCAGGGTTTCTGTATACAATGCGCAGCCTGTGAGTGTTGGTGCCTGTTCACCAGCATTGGAGCCTATGGCGGGTAAGTGGTCGAAGATTATGTACAGTATGTCGCAAGGGAGTTGTTTTTAAGAACATGGCGACTCTGGAATCTTGCCACCCTAATTTTCAACAAATAAAATGTTGTAAATGATTATGATGTTTAGGATAATATTGTAATTATATAATTGAACATTGGAATTCATTGAATGAATTTTGGTTTTCTAAGCAATCCACACAGAAAGGGAGAACTGAGCTATCTTCTACAGACAATATATATAAAAGCTGCACTTATGAACACACCATGGAACACAGCGTACAGAATGATTAGACAGAATTGGATAAGCCGTGGACACACAAGGAAAAGAAGGATACACTAAGTCCAAGGCCTGTGGGCTTGTTCTTTTACATATGCCGATTCATATTCTTGTGCGCAATGTAACTTTCTCTAGAAATTCGTTTAGCCTGGCACACTCTTGCTGAACAAAAAAGGCAAACAAACAAAACACTGCACCTGTAAGTGCTGGGCAACAAGGGAGCTTTCACCAGACTCGCCAGCAGCCGACATGCGCGCCATGTGATCGAGACCGATGCGCTCCGCCTCTTCAGTGGCCAGTGTATAGGGCAGTTCAACGAAGAGCATGGTGGCCTGCCCGTTGACCAGGTCGATGACTGACTCGTACATGGCGACGGGCAGCTGACTGTGACGTGCCTGTGGGTTCAGCTTGAGCAGCACGGGACTCTCGTTTATGCAGCATATCTGCCGGTGCACTTGGATGTCTGACTCGGTCGGGGCACCTCCTGTCGTGTACCAGCCGAGGAAGTCTAAGTCGCTGAATACCTGCAATGCGAGCATTCGGTTGAATGACGGCATATAACATTAGAATTCCATGTTTCTTTCTTTTTTATTTGAATGTGAGAGAAATTTTTCGGGGTGAGTTGTCCTAACACGACATAAGTTCAGGTGTAGATGGAAGCTTGAGGTGATATAATAGATCATTGAATAGAAAATGTATAAGCGGAGTGTGAACGTTAATGCTCCAATGCACAGCTTTAGGTGCCCGCCTTCCCATAAGATGCCCCCTCTCCCTCACTGAAAAATTCTATATCTACACATGGCTGAAGCCAATGTTTTGACAAAAATCTTCATCAGGACAGCAACTGCTACCCCGATGAAGCTAACATTCTGCAACTAACATAGGAACAAAGTCTGCCATCTTCCTCATAGTTCTCATTTTCATGTGCTTTTATCAACATTCAACACATAGTTTTCACTGACGTCATCGTGGTCGCCGTGATGGGGTAGGGTTGAGATGCTTGCGAAGCAATAAACGGCGACATTAGGTTAGCACTGGTGCCCCCTCGTGTGCCTTTGTGTTCCCCCATGGCGCGGCTGTCGAATAGAACAAAGCGGGGAGCGAACAACTCTCTGTCCTCCCTTGCACTGACACTCTACAATAAGATAAATAGGCACTGTGGCTGCCACGTTAGAGTACACGCCACAGAGAACGTGTCTGTGACGTTACGTGAAGACTATGTGTATCAATGCAGTTGATGAAGAGTAATAGTCATGATCAAAATAGGCTAGAGTGAGTAAAGATCACCTTGCTTCTAGCTAAATTCTTACATTATATGGCAGCACTTGTCAGTGCTCCCATGCTTCGGTGTTCATACACCCACTATTTTCCAAAAGGCGTGGCAGTCCGTCCTCATAGTGAGTGGCACTACGTGTAGCTTTTAATTTTACGTGTTAGCTTTAAAGCTTGTAAAAGAAAACTACCTGAATGGCACTTACCTAGAAAACGTGTTTGAATCTATTCAGATTCCTGTGGTATAAAACGGATTAAATTGACACTAAATTATGACATGTTGAAGTTTTAGCTAATATGACAAATCAAGGTCCTAAAATCTTTTTTTTTCTTTCTTTACTGAATAAAATGATCTATGATATAGCACATACCGTGAAGACAGTGCCTGATGTGTACTCTTAAAATTGGATGCAGACGTATCAGTTACACAACAAGAATGGATATGTAACCTTCATATGCCTGCAAAGATGAAAAGCAGGAAAGCACTGCAATAAAAAATTTTGGCGGAACCCATCTACAATTAGAGTGTGACTCACGAGAGAGCAGTTGCACAGTGCACATACCTTACTTAAATTTCATTGCAGCCAATCAAATGAGGTGCGACAGCGTGCCTGTTTTGATGCATTGCTTTGGCAGCCCAACCCATTGTATGTGTGTCTCTCAAGACGTAGTATGACCCAAGGAGCGACTTGCGCATGTGCATATATTTTGTGACAACACAATGGTATCAGTGCTCTTCAAGTGTACTGTCAAACATGATCAGTGCTCTCGCCTGTGGTTGCGGCACTATAGGTGCTTGCTTGCACGGGCTACGCAATGATCTATGAGCACAACACGAGAACATACTAAACGGAGCCACTACAAATGCGCCATTCAGTGCTTTTGACGTCCGTTTGTGAATGTCCACTAACCGAACTGAATGGGTCCAAATGTACAAACATGCCCGGCTCAGATGTGGTCGTGTCTAGCAGACTAGCGAACTACAGGAGAAAACTTTTCCGCCCAATTTAGCGGCAGTCTGGCAACAACCACCCCAAAGTCTGGCAACAGATTTATGCAACGCCAAAAGGAACCTTGCCGACTGGCGCAGCAAGTAGTGACACAAGTATAACCACTGTTATAATTTAAGAACTCTGATGCAGGCCTGCGATTCAGTTGCCTGCACGTCATCATCTCGAGTCTTTGAATTATGCGTACTCGCTATCCGATCGAGGCTCCGTTGACGGTTTCGAGCGACACCTTCGTCCTCAGTCTTTCATTACAACCACACACGCCGTCAATGCGTTGGTTAGAAGGAGGCCGGCACATGTTGTGGTGACAAACACATAGCGAGACCGCGGCTTAAAGGAAAGCAGTGGCGCGACAAAACAGAGCTGCGACACTTCCACGACACGTCGTTGCCGGGATTCGAAGCGGGTACCTGTTTGAACTGCTGCTCCTTGACGTTGTAGTAGTCGTTGTCAATCACAATGTTTCCCTCGATGGTGTTGAAGACGAGCTCGAACGAGTTCATGACTTCGATGTTGCGGCCTTTCTGCTTGCCGATGAGGGCACCGATCACCTGCTGCGCCTTGCCTTCCTGGGCCTTGATTCGCGTCCAGTGCTCGGAGATGTTCATAATCACGAGCGGATGCAAGGAGATGCACACACTGCCCGTGGTGCCCGATGCAGCCATCACGTTGGCCGGGCTTTCGTCCACCTCCATGTTTAAACGGCCTCGTCGACGTAGTCCCTCACCGATAAACGACGTTCCCAGCCCTTTTGTTTTGGACGACGGCTCCGCAAACTCCGAAGCGCGCGCAGAGCTTAACAACGCCTTGTTAACTCAAACCAGCTGCCGGAACCACATTGATCGTTACTTTACGGGAGACTGTCCTTTTCAGCCAACGTCCAGTCATAGCTTGCATAAGACACGTATGTGCATTAATTCTTGAACACCTCTTAAAACATTTATTTACACAAATTTTTAAAGAACAAACGTTTGCGCTACCTGTAAACAAAACAAATACTTTACATTTTCGTAATATAATTTAAAAATAACAAAATTAGTTTATTTATTACCCTCAAGATGGCGCAGCCATTTGTAAATAACAAAAATAGTCATGTTATTGATACGTTTTTTAAAAAAAGTGAGTTAGTTTGTGACAATTACTAAAACGTTTGTAAACTTTTTAAATGTTAGTTGTAAACGTGACAATTCTGCTAAACTAAGTTTTATATTTGCTACAAATAATTTAAAAAATAGTTTTTAATGTTACAATAAAAACATTGAAGCGTAATAAATGCCAGAAAACATTATTACTTTTTAAACACACACAAAATGGTTTTTTTAAATTAGTGGCATAACTTTTTAAACACAGCAACATTGTGTAAAGCGTAAAAACGTAGAGTACACGCACTTTTGTGTGCAAAAAAGTGCGTTAACGCTGTCAAACGTCCCCAAACGCCGCTAGAAAAAAACGGCTTCGAACATGGGCTTCGATTAAGTGTAGAGAGTTGCAGCACTATTCTTTATTGAACTAAAAGAACCGAAAACATTTTTTTTTTCTGTGGTCGTCTGGCTGGAACTCGCCGTGTTGATGCTTCTGGCTGCGTTGGTGTCATGCCGCTCGCCTTAAAACGGAAATTCAGATATCGGAGTGTTGCAGAGTTGCGTGAACGAATTGAGAAAGGTGCCACTGCGCGATCCGCCGCGGGGTGCCAGGTACGGGCGTGAAACCGGTGTAGTTAGCGAGCCGACATGGCTAATGCGATGGGCATCGAGCTGGACGATGAGATTATCGTGGACGAAGAGACACTCAACGCGTTTGTGAACTTTCCGCCCGAAGTTCAGGCTGCCATAGAGCAAGTGAGTTGAACGCTACAACCTGTATGGTGTAAGGGTCGTAGCTTGATGTTACAACCTTTAACTTGACAGGTGCCGGCTTCCTACTGACTATGTATCGCCGGTTCGTCTCCAGAGCTTAGCTCTGTTTTTTTTTTTTTTTTTTATAAATAAGAGCTCCCCACTAGTAACGAAGAGGCATCGGCTAGTTATCCTGCCGTATCATTCAGCCTCGGCTGAGCGTTTGCATGCCTCTCGCTAGTTTAGGAACCAGTAGTATCTAACCGGTCCACGCCGGTAGAGATGTTCCAGCTGTGTGTGTTGTGTAATGAAATGATCCAGGTATGGAACATGCTTTGATGTAAGCGCACATTCATGTGAAACCGAACACTGGCATCGCAGCTGGTAATTTTTCAAGATTGCGCGTAAAATATCTACTAAAGCAACCGGCAATCTCCTCACTGAATTTCTGATGCTTAATTACCGTTCATGGCATATGTACACGAGAGTTTGATAACACGTACGAGCGCGTGCGCTAGTTGCGCCCAAAAATATCCGCTTACACGAAACAGGACATAGTGTTGTGTTGGTACTTGACATACGTGTACCACAATTCCGCTTGGTACTGAGCATATATTTTGCCTGCCTTGTTGTACTGCGCAGGTATTTCCCAGTACAGACCCACTGGACAGCCCAAACTTCAATCCAGTGGACTACATCAACACACTGTTTCCAACGGAACAGTCGCTTGCCAATGTTGATGAAGTCATTGCACGAATGAAGACAAAAATCAGGTATTCAATGTTGTCTTGCTTCCCATTTATTTTCTTTGAAGCGGCTCTATCACTGCATACACTGTAGCTTTGCAATGGCTCCTGTGAACATTCTAAGGCTTATGGTAAGAAAAAAAAAAGCTAGTTTTTGTCATCTTAAATAATTCTGAGGATGACGCCACACTAGTTGCCGATGAAAGCTAGTGTTTTCAGACGTTCTAGAAACGAGGAACTTGCACCCCATTTGTGAGGTCCCCGTTCATCTCTTGTACATTGTTAATGTCTCACCTTGGTCGTTTGCCTAGTTGCATAGCTATGACATTTGGTTTCCTATAAGTTTACAAATGTGGCTTTGTGTGCAGGCGCTTGGACGACCAGATCCGGACAGTCGTTCGCGGCCAGAGCAACCTTGGCTCGGATGGACGGGCATCCTTGGAGGAGGCACAGCGTTCTATCCACCAGTTGTTTCTTTGCATCCGTGACATCAAGGAGAAAGCTGAAAGTCTGAACACATGGTATGCATAAAGCTTGCGGACTCTGAGATGCTGAAAATAAGTCTTTCACTCGAATTGCACATGTAACCATCAGTAAAACTGACTTGATCCCAGTGTCCATTGCTGTCCTGCATGGTAAATTAATTGTAATGTCTGCTTGTGCCACCATTAAACACATGTTCAGCCTCTTTTGTAATTTATGAAGCTACCATACCTGCAACTGTCCGTATTTCATTAACACATTTATCTCTTTACTTTGATGATTGGACACAGAGATTAAGAGGGACAGCATGGGTGGCTTTCCTGCTCCATCAGGGTGTGAAATCATCTCCAAGATTTGTGTGCAATGCACAAAAGCTAGCAAAAGCTTTTTCTTTTTTAATGTTTGTGGTGCATCTCATCTGTTTAACTCCCTGCATACGAGTGCAGGTGAAGGAGATCACACGAGATATCAAGCAGCTGGACAATGCCAAGCGTCACCTGACAGCATCTATAACAACGCTGAACCACCTTCACATGCTCGTGGAGGGTGTGGATGGCCTCAAGTATGTCTTACATTCTCTTCCTGCTACGTTCACAGCTCATTGCCTCAAGGCACTTTTTTTTAGCACGGCTTTTAAGATGGATTGGTTGAGGCAGCACATTCTCAGTAGCATACCTGTACAGTGTTGAAGAAATAAAGCATGTCAGTTAGGACCAAGTAATGCACATACTTGCCCAGATTTCGACTCATGCTGTAAGAGCACAGTATGGGCTTGTGCACTTACATCAGAGCCTCCACCACCTTTTTAAGGGCTTAATCTGTAGCAACATGATGTGTGAATGTCAAGCAGTTGTCCACTTGTGCATTTCATTGCATGAATGCTGTAACATGTCAACGATAGTTTAACTCTGCTTTAATTTGTAGAATCACTTCTGCATGAATCGCATTTGACACTTTCTTATTGAGAAAGCTTGGAACAGTCCAGACAGTATGGTAACATTTAGGCATTGTAGGGACAGGGGACTGAACCGTCTGTGTAGCAACCGAATTTTGTGAAGAATGACTGACTGATATAGGTGCCATTCGGTACTTCCTTGTGATATTCATCAGAAAAGGCATGACAGTGTATGCTTAATGTTAGCTCTGCTAACAATTTTCGAGGTTCAGCTTTCCAGACACTGCTGCCTGTTGATAGGCTGCATAGAACGGGTACCGTTCACCTGTATGACCACAAAGTGTGAACACTAAACATCATACAAGTTAAACCCCACATATCAATCAATCAAAACATCATACAAGGAAACTTTCAAAGTGATTTTCTGAATATATGGGCTGGTGAAATGATTAACAATTGCTTTCTCTCTAAGCTTGACTGTATGTAGGTACAAGAATGCAGGTGCGGCCTCTGTTACAGGTAACACGGCGCGCGTGGCCGCGCTCCTCGGACCACGAAGCGGGTGCTGCGTGAATTATTATGGCGCAAGCGCGATCATTGCTGGAAGCGTAGTTAGTTGCATATCATATTCTGCGGTTCCTTCCACTTCGCTGCTCATGCTCTGGTAAATCTGCATGCACAATGTACCTTTCACAGCTCGAGGCGGAGTGGGAGAAACCGTAGCAGACAGCATACACCTGACTCCACCTCCAACACTGTTACGCGGCACCCGTCATGGCGCTCCGCTGATTGCGGCTACCCACTCCGTGTTACTTGTAACAGTGGCCTGTACATTCACCTATGTATTACTGTACCATTTTGAGACAGATCCCTGCTTAACCTGTGCTGTTCAGTTCTCTCGAGTTTGCACGTCTGACCTTCTTTCATGATGAATCCTTGCCGACTAACTTTCCTTTTTGTTATCCTAATGTGCTGCCCTCTCCTGTGCAGAAAGCTGACTCGCAAGCGCCAATATGGAGAAGTGGCTAACCTTCTTCAAGGGGTAGTCAACGTGCTGGACCACTTTCAGCCGTACATGGCCATCCCTCAGATACGCAAGCTTGCCGATGAGTGAGCCAAAGATACATTCTTTCTTTCCTTTTTTTTTTTTTCATTCGGGTATGGTGCAATACATCTGCAGCAACAGCTGTTGAGCTTGCATTTTGGAAAGGGGATTTGTCAGTGGTCTCTCAAAGAGAAGTTTTCTCGTCAACATTTCAAGGTACAGCAACATTTCACGTTGCACTACTATTAGTCACTTCAAAGCGCTGTTTAACGAAAATCAGGTCACGTTTCGACTCCGTAATTTGTCATTCTTGTATAAACATCAGCAGCCTCCCTTGTTGCTTAGCACATCATCGCAGCACATCTCTGTAATAAATTTTATCATGAACACTCCCTGCCGCTGTCCAACATGCATGTCGTAATTGCTGGGTATCGAAAATGAAATTTGTGAAGATTGAAAAATACCAGCAAAATTAGAGTGTAATCAAGTATACTTGTATGTGAGTTTAATAGAAAAAGAATATCTCACATTCCTACTTGCTGCCCTTTTTTATGAGAGCGAACAAACAGAGCACATCTGGTCAAGAGTTCTGATACTTTAAGACATCAAGCACATTACAGCTCACTGAAGTATGTTGTACGCATTTTTTTGTCAGTCTGTTTGATTTGATGCTCTAGTTCTTTATGGTCTCAGACCTCATGTGAATTCATCAATCCTGTCGATGCTGCGAGATCTTGTCTTTCCTGCTGTATGATTGATCACATTTTGTTGGTTTGGGAACTCCCTGTTACAATTCATTCAATGCTATCCATTCCTTTAAAACTGTGAGTGATAAACAACGCTTAACAGAGCCTCGTTGATGAAGTACAATTCTGCTGTAGCGTAGCCATAGTTCTTGCACATGGAAATTGATTCTCGGGTCAATGTAATGCAACTGGCACCTTTTGCCCAATGATTTCTGTTAATTCTATGTAAGGTGTCTTGCCTTTGGGTAGCCTCTTCATATATACATTGGGGTGATGTTTTCACTCTAGCAAATGGTTTGAATGCTTAATCAGCCTAACCCTAACTGCCTTCAATTAAAACAATACCGCACTTCTCTCTTACTGTAAACATAAAGCTTATTTTGTGCAGGTGCAGCCAGCCCAATTTCCTGTTTTTTTATGTTACTGTTGCCATTATGGCAGATCAAAAAGCAGGTGCACCTTGTTTACGGAGCTCCAAATTTATTGGCCATGTAGTTGCGAAAGGCATTGTACACAAGTATAAAGAAATGTAAATGACTGTTACTTGTTGGCAACAAAAAAAATTTGAGAACTGCTTTTAAGTTGTCATTTGATTAGGTAACAGTTATTCATGAAGTTAACTGTACAAAAAGCCATGTCTTTCTCGTGTGTGTTTCAGGCAGGAAACTGCCTATGCATGCCACGATAGGAGAAATTAGCTGTGATAATTGTTCAGTAATGAAATTCCAGATATCTTTCCTTATTAACATTTTCCACTGTGTTCTGGGCTTTTTACTGGCTATTGTCACTGATTTTATGCGCTGAATGAAGGCTGCTTGCATTTTTTTCATCATCTAGCAAAAGAAAGATTCGGGGTGATTGACAGTACGGCCTTTGCTTCCTGTTTGAAATATGAAACAATTGGAGATTGCCTCACCCTTATTATTTTCTTTTTTTCAAGGGTGGCCACCATTCAGTCTGACCTCGCACAGCAAATAACGGCCGATTTTCATGATGCCTTCACGGGGCCAAATGCAAAGGTTAGTTTGCCCAGATGATTTCGCATTGCATTTTCTATGCCATGCGTAGCTGCTCAAGTTCTAAAATCACACTGCTTCTGAGTCCCTCATGTGTCAACTATGTGCAATAAATATTGTCATAATTGAAATAAGTTACATCATTTGTGGAACGGCAGACATTTTAAGGACGGTTGACATCTCCGCAGATGTTTGCAACTTGTCATGAAGCACAGTGGTTGAGTTATAACACGGCACAGTGGCTAACTTTTGCTATTTATAAAAAAGCTGGGTTATCAGAGCTTATTAATGGTTTTTACAGTCACTATGAGTAACTTTTGTTATGGTTAATTTGCGTGCTGCTTTGGGCCAAAGTAATCTCGTAAGATCACAAACACAGTAATCGATAGATTTTTTGGAGCCTGACTTTCCATGTAGTATCTCACTAGTTCAAATGTAAGTGCTTGTCAGTGACAATGAGCCATGGCTGTTGACCTTCAGTCTGCTATTCATGAATATGTGTCGACGAGCATTCATGTTGCATGCACTATATCTTATATGCTTTGTGTATAGATTAAAATATACTGTGTATTGAATCTGTTAAGTTTCGTGCCAAACATTTGTGAGCTGTTTCTTGATCAGTGCTTTTCTTTTCTAGTGTTAAGGTTAACGGGTCTTCATACAGGGCTCTCCTCACATCATGTGTCAAGTGTAAATGAAGCAATTTGGTGTGTGCAGATACAGACTTATATATCTTGTTGGTAGTCGTGGGAAAACATCAAGGTTGTTTATTCTTTCCACTTTGTTTTGTTAATAAATCATTGTTGCTTATCTAATTTCACAATGTAACTTTACAATTGATGCATTGCACGAAAGTTTTTGAGTTTGTTTAAGAAAATTTTTGGGGCATGCTACTATTTTTTTGTGTCTCTGCCTACATTTTGTCAAAGATGCTGTTCACACTGTGCCAACTTCAGGTACAGTATGTGCATTGAGTTTACATTTCTTTGGTTTCACGTGTTTCCAGCGTTTTGGTGCATCTTGTGAAGACGCTTCAGGCACAGAGGTAAAACCAAAAGTAAGAAGATTGCCCACTGCACCATGTGTGTGTTGTTACGTTTAGATTGTTTGGATGAAGGCAGACTCGATCCTGTTTATAATGCCTCCTGCAACGTGCCATCACAGAATGCGTATCTGGAATAAGTCGGTAATGTCACTGGGCAAGAAGATGAAAGATACACTGATAAGCGTAAAACCTGAGATGTACTTAACTTCAGTTCACGAGATTCTCTCAGATCGTGTATGCAGTGTGCAGTGCACGTTTGAGAACCCCAGGTGCTAGAAATTTTCGGATCATATTGTGGTTTTGGAACATAAATATTAAGCTTGCTGGTAAGGAAACTCAAGCGAACTAGGTGATGATTATCATTTCATGGCAGAAAGACGCCCTGAAAGGTACAGTTGTTTTTTTTTTTTATGTATGTAATCTGCAGCACCATTTTTTTATGCTGTCCGAATAGTCACACCCTCGTTGACTGTGATCTCTGAGGCCCTCCTCACGACGAAATGACTGCAGTGATGTGAGACCATTTATATTTCATACGTGCAGCATTCGGCCCCTACACAGCAACTTGCGGAGGCGTGCCTTGTGGTCTCGATTCTGGACAAGAAAGTGAAGTGAGTATTTGTGGACTCGCCGCTATTGCTTGTACTTGTTCATTTCCCACCTGGGAAAGTTATGCACGATCAAATTGCCTCCTGGTAGAGATTTAAGTCATGCTTCCAATTTGTAGTACAAAGCATTAACTGTTGACGTGAAAGAGAGGAGAGAAAACAGACTGGTCCTGAGCGTGTCGCATAGATTCTAGAAGCCGTGTTTTCTCTCGCGTGTTCCAGGCAGGAGTTGCTGAAGTGGTTCGTGTCACTCCAGCTGGCCGAATACACGCACCTCTTCCAAGCAAACCAAGATGTAAGTCTCTCGCAATTTACATTAACAGAGTCCACCCTTGGTAAAACATACACCTGTGCAATAACTCTTATCTCTTTCTTCGTTGGTCAGGCATCTACAATATTATAACAGTGCTGTCAATTGTCAATAGTTTCAAGTTTTGTAATTCTGTGCTCCTTTGTGTTTGAGCACACAAAAGAGCGTCCTCAAGGAACACTAGCTGTTAAAGATAGTGTTCCTAGTGTTAAACACTAGCTGTTCCTCAATTTCAAGGCACTTTTCACAGATATGATTATGTTTTTTGTCATCACTTCATTTAACATCACCTCTTCTTTATAGCAGGCACAGCTTGTTTTGTGTATTATGCGTAAAGAGCTGCGAAAATTTCCTGATGGCCTGCACAGCTGAAAGCAATGAATGTAGACGGCATTCAGTATTATGTTAAATTGCATTTTTGGTTTTGAACATTTCTCATTTGAACTATGCCTGAAATTGTAGACTTAATTATCCACTGTTGTTTATTTTTAAAGTTCAGTTAGCACTTTTTTGTCAATAGAAGGTCTGTCTTCTTGATGGGGATTCCCACCTGGAAAACTTTTGGTGGAGGAAAGCTTGCATACGGAGTGTAAAGAAGGCATTTGTATGAGTGCATTATATAATTTTGTTTGTTCATTTTGGCCCACAAATATTTACTTACTTCTGGGAAAGATGAGAAACATGTACTTTTTACAAAGATCACTTTGTGACAAGATGGCAGCGGGTGCCAATGAGCAGTTGTTCTAATAACAGTTGTTAAATAGATGCCGTGGGCTCCATACTGTCACGCTGTTGGCTGCAAAAAGCGTCGTATGAAAGGTGATAGAACATGGGGGAGAACTACCTTGTCGTAGAACAGAGAACGAAGAAAAGCTAGCTGCAATTGTGCGCACCCACATTTGAAACTGTCATTGAACCGAACTTCTTTAATACCCAAGTGAACCAGCTAGGCTACGAATGAATCTTAGAGAATGATGTGGCATTAGTGTCGTTTGTGGCTTTCTGAATGTGTGCGTTCTTTTTTTTTTTCTTTCTTCCAGGTGGCCTGGTTAGATCGTGTAGATAGGCGCTATGCCTGGCTCAAAAACCATCTTGTCAAGTTTGAAAGCAAGTTTGGTCAACTGTTCCCTGCTGACTGGGAAGTGAGCGAACGCATTGCGGTCGAGTTTTGCCACATTACCAGGTAGGCGCCTTTCTTATTCGAGGCGTTTCGTATTTTATGTCTATTCACATATGAGCATCTCTCATAATCGTATTGAGCAAACGGCAGCGAGATGATGCAGAGATTCGTCCGATCATCGATCATTTAGAGGGCCAGGGCACAATCATACCACGTCATTTATTCCGCTCGTTGCCGTCGTTCTGCCTTCGAGACAGTGTGCTGTACAAGAAGAACGCTCGTTCGAACAACCGTGCCTACCTCCTGGTGGTTCCTCGAGACATGCGAGACGACGTCCTCTTTGCTTGCCATGGCGAACCCACATCCGTTCATCTGGGCTACTCACAGACACTTGCCAGAGTGAGCGAAAGGTACTATTGGCCAGGACTTTCGGCAAGCGTCAAGAAGTATGTCAAGAGCTGTCGAGAATGTCAGCACCGAAAGCAACCATCTGTTAAGCCAGCTGGTTTGCTTCAGCCCATTGAAGCACCTTGCACGCCATTCAACCTAGTCGGCATGGACATTCTCGGGCCATTTCCCCTGTCTGCGGACAGCAACAAATGGGTGATCGTCGCGACCGACTATTTGACATGCTACGCTAAGACGCAGGCGATTCCACGAGCCATGGCTTATGAGGTAGCACAATTTTTAATGCGCCACATCGTTTTATGACACGGTGCTCCTTCCAGTATAATAACAAACAGAGGGACGGCATTCACGGCGCAGCTTATGGACGAAGTTTTCAAACTGAGCAACACCAGACACAGAAAGACAACTGCGTACCACCCGCAAACCAACGGACTTACCGAGCGACTGAATAAGACCATCACAGACATGATCTCAATGTACATCGACAAACCGCACAAAACGTGGGACCTTCGCGTGCAATACCGCCGTGCAACGCCATTTCGGCTTCTCTACGGCCGCGAAGTGCAGGCCATGCTGGACTCTATGCTACCTTGTCAAGACGAAGGCGAGTTGGCAACTGACGCCGAAGAATTTGCAGAGCGTGCTGCGGAAACATGGCAGCTCTCGCGACTACACATTGGCCAGCAACAGCAGGCAGACGCACGGCACTATAACACCCGCCACAGTGAAGTGTTTTACAACTCCGGAGATCAAGTTTGGGTGTGGACGCCAGTCCGCTGCCGTGGCCTTAGTGAAAAGTTACTGAGCCGGTACTTTCGCCCATATAAAGTGTTACGCCGCGTCAGTGATGTAAACTACGAAGTGGTTCCGGACTCAACATCGCAGGCACGGAGCAGGACACGATCGAGGCCGGACGTCGTTCATGTGTTGCGCATGGAACCATTTATTGCGCGTTGTTCGTAACTTTTTCTTTGCCGTACATTGTTTTTTGTGTTATTTATTTATTTTTGTGAACTTGCTTCTTCGTTCATTGATTTTTCCTATATTGGCACGCTCGTCAATTTCTACTTTTACTCCATCCGAATTTCCAATTCCTTTTTTTTTTTTTTTTTTCACGTACCTATGTAGTAACATCGGGGTAGTACTATGTACTTTTCTTTCCCTCTTTTGGGACTTTTTTTTTTCTTTTCGAAAGGGGGGATACTGCCACCCACACGTAGTGGGTCGACTGCAAAAGGGGCTCTACAATCTGGAGGAAACAAAGAAGATCGCATGCTTCTTCTCGACTCGAGAGCCATCCACGACTGACGCATCGTCCCAGCGCTAGCTATTCAGTGGTTTAACAAACCCCCAGTACTTGTGATTCATCGTGACAATATGGTGCTTTTGGGACATTAATCCCATTTATCTGTCTATCCACATATCAGTGGTTCCAAATTTAGGTGACAGCCTGTGGACACAAACACTTTTGCTGTGTGAGTAAAGCTTAGATTGCCTATCATTCACAAGCTTGATGATATGTACGTAGAAGATAGGGTGAATGAAGAAAAAAAAATGCAGATCAGAAAATTTTATAGAAATGTCAATTGGCCATTCATTGTGTAATAGGTACAATAAAGAAGAACAGAGTGTGCTTATGCTAGCTAGTTCTATTTGAAGCTTTCTTAAAGAGTAGCAGGCAAAAAAGGGAGAGAGAGAGAAGCAAGGGAAGGCTGGGAGAGTAACAAGATGCTACCGTATTTAATTAATGAGGTTGTGTTTAGTATTAAAATGTTCACTATGACATCTCATGGCCCGTGTGCTTCTTCAGTATGCTAAGCCTGGTTGCGTCAGGTTATGTTAGGTAAGTTTGGTCAGTCAATCAAATGGAAGGTTACAGTCTTAGTTTGTTATTCACGAACCAAATCTAATACAGAGATCAAGCTGCTGATTTGCAGATGCTTATTGAATTTCTGAATGTCTTTCGGTAGAGTGGAGAAAAGCACTTTGACATAGTTACAGCGGTCCTTATGGATGGTCATACTGTATTTCCTCATTGGGGGAAGTTCTGCTGAAAGGAATGGCCAGCAGATCATTGATGCATTGTATTCTGCACGGCCAGGCACTGACCACGAAACTGATGTCTCTGATATGACAGGTAGAGCCGGGCAATAAATATTGAAGGAACAGCTTCTACCTGCGCCTCGTGACGTGCATTTCGTTTGCATGTCTTGGTTTGTGTCTTTTGCATATGAAGTCTATATCTTAGTTTGGTCTCTCTCCATTGTCTTGCGGTTGCAGGCGTGAGCTGAGCCAGCTGATGAGCAGCCGAGTGCAAGACATGGAGGTGCGTCTGTTGCTCAGTGCCATCCAGAAGACGACCGGCTTCGAGGCGCTCCTGGGCCGGCGCTTCACGGGTGTCACTCTCGAGCGCACCAATGTGGTGTCCCCTCCAACACCGGCACCGCCAATGCCTTCTGCACACTTGTCACAGGTATTGCCCCAAGCTTTGGTGGACGTAACAATCTGACATTCATTATAAAGGTACGTCTTCATCTCTGAAACAGCAGTCTGGAAAATGTGCCTAGGCGGTGTCATTAATTTTGAGTTGAGTCCTAAATTATGCATGTGGTTTTTCTTTGAATAAGCTTCAAACTTTATTTCTAAAATTTGCTGTGTATTTCTCAAGAGGCAATTGTTATGAAGCGCAAAGCATAATATAGAGTGAAACCAATGTAGAGAATTAAATTTTATTATTTTAAGACACTTTTTTTCAAGAGTGGTTTGCCAGTACACTATTAGCCAACAATTATACAACACTGCTCAGTGTTGGTATTATGTAAATATTAGTAAACCAGACTGTTCAAGCTACACACTTTTCATAAATACTTGATATCCTATCGCATGTATCATCTTGGTTATAGTTTCATATATTAGCTTCTATATTGTACATTGTGCTGCTTGAGATTATTTTTAAACATTTACCTTAGAAAATGGCTTTTGTGGTGCTGGTCCATAAGCGTTTTTTAACACTCCAATTTACTTTCTGTGGAATTATGTTCACAATAAAGAACACGCTGGCATCCAGCTTTTAACTATTTCTATATTGTTTGACCCTGACACATTTTGCTGCATGCTCAGACTTTGTTTTTTTCACATACTGACATACTCGAAAGCAACTTGGTCACCAAGAGTTACTACTGGTCAGTAGGAGTTCCATGCAGCAATGTAGATTATGTCAAGGGTTAATAATAAAGCAGTTCTCCCTTGTTATAATTGAAACTAATAAGGTAAATTATTGGTTATAATGAACTAAATACAAATTGCATTTGATCAAACTTATTTTTAGAGACATCTATTCTTTTTATAAAAAAACCTAGAATGTTATAGAAACTGTAGTAATGGCTGTAATGAAGAAATATTTGTTTTGCGTGAACTCGGAACTCGAAAGGTAGCTTAAAGAGCAAAATATTTGATTGAAAGAGAATTCATGACCACATTATTTTTTTTAAATTCTCAGTGTCGTGAAAGGTCGGGAGACAAACATAACATAGTTTTTAAGGTTAATGTGAATACAGGCCTGTTTTGCCAAATGAACTTTTTTCTGTTGTAATTTCACCTTCTCATGTTTTGTTCTATATAGCTTGAGGTGCGACAGGAAAACAGGCGAGACGATTAGGTCGCTTATGGCGGGTTAAGCCCAGTATAATGCATTGTTGTATCTGCGACTTTTCCCCAAGCTAGATAGCTAATTTGTTTGAGCTTGTCTTTATCGCTGCTCTTTTGACAAATATCGGATATAAAAAAAAACTAATCTATGGTACAGTCGACTCCCGTTGATACGAAGTTCACGGGAACCGCAAAAAACTTCGAATTAAACGAACTTCGAATTAAGCAAAAAGCACTAAAAACGGCACTTTTATTAGTTTAAAAGCGCGACAGTTTTGAGGAAAAATAGTCTGTCATCTTCTTCTGCTTGCCGAATCTGGCTGCGGCTAGCAAGTTTTGTAAGGAATACACGTGTCGAAGTGCTTCTTCGGCGTTGTGTTCTCCAACAAAAAACCGCTGCGCAAGAGCAAGACCCGCAGCTACATCGGCAGTCCTCGGTGGTTGCTCATTTCCGATGTCGTCGTCATCATCGTCATTTTCAGGAATGCAGTCATGGGGCCGAACCATCTGCACGATTTCGCTGTCCGTTAGTGGACCGCATGTTTCGACGTTGCTGTCCACAGCGACATACTCGTCAAAACGGACGTCACCGAGAGCGGCGCGAAAGCTACCGTCGTCGAGCTCATTTGTTTGCACTTCCACTGGCGCACAAGGAGAAGCATCCCCCGAGTTTTCCATGAAACCACAGGCCCGGAAACAATTGGCGATGGTTTCTTCTTTCACGCGGGTCCAAGCTCGCGCTAGCATGTTGATGGCACTAAGCAAACTCACCTCGTATTGCGACGAGTTGTCCATGCACAAAAGCATGCGCTCGACGAGATGCTGCCTATACAATACCTTCACATTTTTTATTATGCCCTGGTCCATGGGCTGCAACACGGACATCGTGTTTGCAGGCAGGTACACAAGACGGATGGCACTCAAGGCAGGTACGTTCATGTGGGCACTACATTGGTCCACAAGGAACAACACCTTACGGCTTGATTGCGCGAACTTGCGGTGGAGTTTGGTGATTCAGTCCTTAAATATATCGGATGTCATCCACGCCTTTCTGTTCGAGGCATAATCCACAGGAAGCGTCTTCACGCCTTTAAAGCACCTAGGCTTGGCAGCCTTCCCGATCACAAGCAGGCGACACCGTTTTGTGCCAGTCATGTTCGCCGCGACTAGCACTGACACTCTCTCTTTGCTTCTTTTGCCTCCAGAACAGTCGTCGTCTTTAATCTTTAAATGTCAGGGTCTTGTCCGGTAGCAGCCGATAAAAAAGCGCAGTCTCGTCTGCATTAAAAATGTCTGCCGGCTGGTATTCTTCGAGGTACAGTGCAGTCCACTTATAACGATATCGAGAAAACCTAAAAATATGATCGTTATAACCGGTGATCGTTATATCTGGACTGCCGCCAAAAAATCGTCGCCGGACGTACCTTTTGTAGCTCCAGGCTTCATTTTGCTATTTTCACCAATTAATAAATATTGTAGATAGTAGGATGTCAAAAACAAGACTTTATTTCTTACTCCGAAGAACGCATCACGGGTTCGCTGAGGAAGAGAGACTGACCGACGGCGGGGTGGGAGCAGTGGGAGGAAGAAAGCACAGCCAGAGGTACACAGCCGGAATGCCAACGAGGCCCCGCCCCGATGCCGCCGCGCCGCTTTGCTTTTCGCTTTTTTTATTTTCTCTCTCTTTCCTGCCTTCGTTCGGCAAGCTACGAGTAGCTTGCCGGCTTGGCGTTGTAGAAGGCGGGGAGCCGCGGAGCGCGGCGCTTTGCTTTTCGCATTTTTTTTTTAAATTCTCTCAGCCTCTCCGCGGTCGACGCGCGGCGAGGCGCAAAACGTGACACAGCTGGCGCCATCTGTAGCGCGTCGCGCCAACTCGCGATGCTCTCCTCGGCTTTTTGAACGGCCGGGACGCGCTGCCGGCGCTGTCCTGCAGTGGCGGCAGATACGTACTCGCCTACGCTAACTTTTCGTCTTGTCTCGGCATAGTTCGTTTCAGAAGAACTTATCAATCTAAATGTTACGATTATTCTGAATGAAACATGCCGTCCACGGCAAACTTTTCATCGTTGTATCCGATATGCGGTGGATAACATATCGTTATATATGGTTTTTTTCCCCATAGCCCCAATGCATAAAATGAGACTGTTAAGTCGACCCATCGTTATAACCGATATATCGTTATATGTGGTATCGTTATAAGTGGACTGCACTGTACTCGCGAAGCTTGCCCGCTTTCTATGTCAGGCACGTTTCCTCATCGACTGACGCCTTCTCCCCACACCGGCTTTTAAAAATCAAGTCGTGGTGATGTTTGAAACGCGTAAGCCACCCATCCGAAGCAGCGAAGTCGTTGATGCCCAACATTTCAGCAAGCGATGACGCTTTTGCCGTGACGACTTCACCACTGAGAGGAAGTTTGTTGTTTCGTGCCTCTCTGATCCAAATCAGCAGTGCTTCCTCCAACTCGGGGTAGGCGCCGGTGCGCATCCGCTTCCGCGATGTCTTGAATTTTTCACTTTCAAACGCATCCAATATTGAGCGCTTATTCTTTATGAAAGTCGACAGCGTGTTAGGCTTAATGCGGTACTTTCTTGCAATGTCTTGTTTGGCGGTGCCTCCCTGGTCAACTTCCTTCAAGACTTCGACTTTCGTCGCTAGGTCTAGCGTTCGGTAAGGGCCACGAGTTGCCATTATCAAACGTACGTCACCACCACAACACTCAAAATCAGAAGTGCAGAAACACGTGTGGAATCAACCCAGCGCGCGGGTGACGTGGTGACACACTCAAGTCTCGACAAAAGTCAACTAAAGAGTCAGTCGATGCCGCCGATGCGATTCGCCAGCGTTAAAAAGATTGCCGCTTCAAGATCTGTGGCGCAGCGGACAGTAGTGATGGCGAAGACACCAGCGCGGTCCGGCAGATGTTTTGGCATATGAAAAGTTCCCCATTTTACTGTAAAATTACGGTCGCGACGAGACTGTCGATGGAAAAAACTTCTAATTAACCAATATTATGGGTTTTAAACTTCGAATTATCGAGCATTTTTTTTATACGATTGCATGCAAAACTGATGGGACCACTTGTTTGAGCTAGTTTTTATCTCTGCTTTTTTGACAAATATGAGATATAAAAAAGCTAATTTATGGTCTCAATGTTACTTCGTTTTAACGAGGTTTTTCTGTATGACACTGAAAGTTTGTAATTTTCGCTCTGGAACATATAATTTTCAGTGATTGTAAGATAAGTGTTGCCTTTTGTATACCTCGTTCTAGCAGATGTCAAATAAACCTGATATGATTTTAAGCCTGCAATCTAAACATATCGTTTCTCGCATTTCATTTTGCCAGCTCTGTGTTGGTGGAGTCACAATTTCAATGAACAGTAGAGTTTTCAAAGAATAGTCCGGAGTGCTGTAGCGATCCACTTTAGTCTGCATAGCCAACACATAGCGGTGGAATGTTAATGAGCGGTCTGCAAACTTGTTCAGCTTTGCTGGCATATGGTTTTTCAGCTACCAGCAACTGCACGCACGTGTGAAGAATTTTCTTCTTTGTGTTTCTTTCTGTTTTCTGGGATTCAGGCTGAGAAAAGCACCAACCCTTTCGAGGAAGGAAGCGAGGAGAACAACCCTTTCGCTGAGGACATGGAGAAAGAAGAGAAAACGGCAGCTTCCCCGGCAACGGCTGGCGCAGGAGAGCCAATGGCTGGCAGCTCAACGCCGCAGCTGTCCCCACCTCAGGTATTTTACTTATTTTATTTATTTATGACATACTGCAGACCCTGCTAAGGGCCTCTGCAGGAGGTGCACAAGCATACACTGAGAAGAGAAAAAGGAATGAAAACTTGATTGAGTGATAATGCAATTAATTAACCAGATGTTAAAACAAGTGCAAAAGTTGAAGGCTTAAAAAAAACAAGGAATAATGCAAATGTGAAACTATACAGTGGACTTTCAGCAAACAAAAATCTCTTAATAAATGGAACTGCTGCTTGATGGAACAACTGACTTTAATATGATTAGTTCCGTACATAAATTCTCCGCCCCTGCTCATCCTTAAGTAAACGAACTCCTGTTATATATGGAACACATTGTCCTTGTTCCTTCAGGTTCTGTTTAAAGAGTGAGTACTCTATAACCAAAGCAAATAGTATAGCAGTTGATTAACATACAGTACACTCTCATTCAATGGAACCTGAAGGGAGCGTGAAAATATGATCACTCTGGTCTGTAGTATAATCAAATGTGTTTTCATGCGTAGATGTCTCTGGCCAATGTCAACCCATTCCAAGGCCTTGTTTCGAGTTGCTTTGAGCGCCATCTGGACATATACGTGGAATCACAAGACAGGTAGGCCAAACACTGCTTAAACAAAGCTTTGATTAGCTACAGATTGTCAAGGTGACAATCTGTCAGGGTGACAGCATGGCTTGCAGGCGTATCCAAATAGGCCTGCGCTATTTGCCATTTTCCACTAACTTACGCACTCCCCATTGTGGGCTTCTCAGCCAGCATCCATTTCTAATACGGAGGAGGAAATAACATTATTAAAGAAATAACTTTATTATTTCTGATACGAAAATCGGATCTTTTATCGAGGTGGCTTGTCTATTCACATTGCCACACTTCATCCCTTCCTGAACTTGAATCTACGAACATTGTTGTTGCCTGTGAACTGGGCTATTATCCACGTGTTGCGCTGCAAACACGTGGATAATAGCCCAGTTCCCAGCATGGAGGAAGAAGCAGTTGAGAGGGAGTACAGGCAACAAAAAGAAAAAAATAAAAATAACTAGGTCATGCATGCCCATGCTAAGCTTTGCTTGGCCCCATTTCCCTGATGGAACAAGGGCTCCTGATTTTTTTTTTTTTTTTGTAGGATAACTCCTCTGTAAATGCAGCCTTGTTGTATACCATGTACAGATGGGTTCACAGTTAAAGGGAACACTTTCTTGTGCACAATGTCCGGATTTCTCTCTCTGGCAAAAAAGCACAGTGGCTTAGATTTGCATAAGACAACTGCTGACTGACTGTTGTGACTCCTTTTGATAGACAATCGCCATGCACGAACAATGTTTCTGCGCCCTCTATCAGTTGTGGGGCCCAGAACATGACAGGTGCTCATTAGAGGGCTCCTTTTACCAGTGGACGGTACTGTGCATATGGATAACGTGGTCAAGGAGGATCCTAAAGGGACATTAAAATCAAATAATTTACGTCAGAGTGAAAGCTCAATGTATGACAACATCTAAAATCACAATATTATCAACAGCTGCAGTACGACATTCTAAAAAAAATCCCAATGACATCAGATGAACCACCTACAATTAATCACTAGTAATCGATATAGCTGCACTATATAAAAAACCTTCCGTGCATCAAGAAATGCAACAAAATGCAGTTTGTTCGTCTCTGTTTAATTCATTAAAAAAAAAAACACTGGACGTTACTATGGAGAATGGCATGAGTGGTTCAAAAATTCAATTTTCGCGTGGTTAAACTAGACAGATCGGGCTATTTCGCGGGGCCCACTTCAATCAAAACACATCTGCCATCTCGGAGCGAATGACAGGATATTGATCAATGGCCGTTGTTGCTGCTATGGCTTCCCCTGTTTTCGTTCTGCTGCTACTAGTGTAGGCGGCTGCGCAGTAAAGCCAGGCAACGTTATGCACGGCAACAGTCACGTGAAATAGTGCGCTTCTTGAGCTGGGTAATTTGAAGGGCACTAGCCCGATATGGACCACTAAAACGTATTATTTCAAACACAGAGGAACTTCGATTTTACGTCCCCCGGTTTCGCGACGACCCGCATTATACAGCCAATCAAATAGGTTTCGGCAAAATCCCGATAGGAATAATGTATCAAAAACCTTGGTTATACAATGCAGTTTTACGCCGACCGTGCATTTTACGACGACATTTAGATTTCATCCAAAAGGAAAACGCCTTTACTCAAATCAAGCTTCGACGAATTATTCACGAGTGCAAAATATAAACTTGCGTTCCCCTAAATTGATGATAAGAAAAGTAGAGAGCGAGGCAGATGTCTTCCTAGAATGGAAAATTTATTGTCCTAGAAGTTCATGCGCTTCTACACACGCCGCAATCGCGTGTGCACATATCTGGGGTCGTTACCTAGTCAAGCTCCATGCACACAAAGTAGCACTAGCCGGCTGATGTTCTACGCTCACTTGTGGTCGGTCGCCATTATGTGATAGCGATGACACTGTGTCTGACTCTTCTGACGGGAGGCTATTAGCAACACGGTTTCGGTTTCATGCACAGGCAATTTTCGGACTCTATTTATCGGTAGAAAGATGCGCATTGAATTCAATTCTTTTTAAACTTGAGAATAGAGATTCGCTCGCACATTTTTCAACTAAGTTACGCTGCGGTTAGCTGTCGCTGCCAAGAATAATTTAATATAACTTTCTAGCAGAGGCGCAAGGTCGTGCCGTGGGCTCATTCAGGCAGTCTATACCCATTTTTTTGGGGCAAGGCTGAGTGTCATTGCTATGTTCTTAGTTTTTCGATTATACGATGGTTTTGCGTGGTCTCCTGAAAATCGTATAATCAGGGTTCCACTGTAAGCCCTTCCTTGGCACAGAAGTAACACTGTGAGGTTTTTGGACCGCTATCAACGTCGACTTAATAGTTACCTTTAGTGTCCCTTTAAACGCAAAAACTTTGTTTGCTAGACGTTGACAGGCCAGCTAGCTATCATAAATGAAGAACAGTCATTGCAAGCCGTTACTGTGTGAAAGTAAACATGCTTTATTTGTACTGCTTCAGAATAAAATTTCATCACACATTGTTTATCCTAATAAGGGTGTGGGTCTACAATTGTAATTTTCATGCACAAAAAACTTATGTTTTTATATTTGTCTTTTTTTGCATTTATTTCTTAACAGTTAAAGAATTTTCTTGCTAGTTTTCATGACTGTGTGCTCATTAGAAAAAAGAAACTTAGGCTTTTCATTTAGCTTTGTTGTCTAGTGGCTGAGCTCTCTACGTTTAGGAAGGAAGCAAGATGTCGTTTTCACATCCAATAATTTTTTAATGTGTAACCTGAACTTGCTTTTTAATGTGGTACCAGTATTGTAGGATATAAAAATGGGGAATTGAAGGGCCTTTGTCAAGCTGTTCTCACAGCTTATAGCCTTGGCGGCCTTTTAGTTTTGTCTGGTAAATAAATAGAAAAATGTAGTTTTTCAAATGCACTGATGATTCGGGCAGTGACGTACACAAAGTTAGCAATGTCCCATAAGTTTTCATGTGCTTATGGTGACAAGAGGTCAACAGCGACTTGAGAGAACGTAACAACATGCTGTGCAAATAACTTTTCAGTTTACCTTACATCCCACATTGGTGTCAGAGGTGCTGGACAACGGTGCCAATGTCGGAGTTTTTTTAGGTTAAAACCACCAGTTGAACAAAGAAACACAGTGAGAGTATAAAAGAACTCAAGGGCTGCAATGCTTCGTGGCCCCTAACCTGTACCTCTCTGTTAACCTGTGTTAATTACTATCTTCTATTTTGCAGAAGGGTGTCTTGAAAGGCCAGTTGGTACATGATACTGAGGGGAAAACAGCGCAAAAATGGCACGAAGGATAAATGAGCAGACAACACAAGCGCTATTTTGCAGCGGTTCATGCATGAAATAATTCTTTTAATTTATCGCATGTAAGAAGAGGAAATTGACAGGCTTTTTTTTTTGTTGGACACAAACAATGAATTCAACAGACATTGAATGCAAGGAAAGCATTGGCGGACACTACTTGTTGTTGCTTCTTTAACTTTATTGTGAAGATTATTACCTGAATTGAGAATAATTAAGGGGAACAAAGAGATCGCCCTTTCCATCAATGAGATCTGAGCCCACAACACTGAAATACGCATCCGATACTCTACCAAACATGGAGGGTGCTCTCTTGTTCACACTTGTTGAGTATTTACCTTGCGTTTAACCTCTGGATTTACTACCTGGTGCCACTCCCAGGGTCTTGTATTTCAGGAGTGGGTTTGTACCTTGCAGGACCCTGAAGCAGCTGCTTGACCAGTTTGTGGACGCGGCGCAGCGGGCCCCGCTGCCGCAGCCCGACGTGGAGACGGCCGGCGTCTTGCCCAGCTGTGCCGACCTCTTTGTGTACTACAAAAAGTGCCTCGTTCAGTGCAGTCAGCTGAGCCGGGGGCAGCCCCTGCTCGCACTGGCTCGCGTTTTTGGCAAGCACCTGGCCGACTATGCCGGCCGTGTGCTCCAAGGCTCGTTGCCCAAGTGAGTGCGCACTGTGGTCGATCAATCAATCGATCCATTAATCCTCTTTTAAATTTTCTCTTTTTCATCTTTAACGAAAGAAAAAAAAAATTGAAGATACACTATGTGAACAGTGTTGTTAGCAGTGAGCTGTGAGGATACTTGACCGTGTACCCGACTGCTGCCTGGCTTCTAATGCTTCAGAAGCGTTCTAATCCTAAGTTTCAGACTGGAAGCATGCAGTTGCTGGCTTGAACTCGGGAAATTTCACTTATTTTGATGATTTTATGGCGGTGCTGTAATGGCAGTTTATAGTACAGTGGTAATTTTGTAGTTTAATGTGCTAAGGTTGTGTTGCCTTGAGTAATTATCAAAAATTAGGACTAAAAGTAGAGATGCACGAATGGTAAATTTGAGGCTTTAAGTAAATTCGAAGTGACTAATGGTTTGAATTAATAGTTTCAATAGTACGCAGCCCATGCGATAAAGAAAATTATCATTTTTATCATGACCCAACGAACCTGTACCATATTTAAGAATTTAAACTAGGCATATGCAAATGTAATATTTTGTGCTATTAAATAAAGTGTAAGCAATTCTGAATAGCAGTAGGGTGCAAGTTATGAGCAATTGGATATGTTAAGTTTTGAAATTTATTGTACTTGGTACACATGAACCTTTATAAGAAGCTTTAAACATAAATAATTAATTAATCAAGGTGAAGGTAATGTGTATGCACATTTAACTCAATTGAAGTATGGCATTGCAACAGTGGAGGTTTTTCCTAGTGTGGTGGTTTGATGACATAGATAGCATCCCTGATGCTGCAATGAAACCACCTTTACAGGGAGATTGCATGTGGTCAAATATATTGAATTGTTTTCATTTTGAATACCTCGAAACTGTGAACAATTCCAAAGATTTAAATGCATGTCGAAGCGAATTAAAATGCTGTAATATTCGTTCACCCATTCAGAGTGCCCGAACATTTGCCCATGCCTAAATGAAAGTCAATTCGACCACTTTTCAGCTTCCGTGCAGGCGTCATCCACCCTTTTTTACGAAGGTACCAATTGTATTTTTTTTTCTACTTGGCTCTTTATCGCGATTCAGGACTGGCAGTAGCAGTAGCAGCGGTGTGACAGCTGCTGGCTTGATCCAGAACTTCCAGAGCCTCTTAAAAGAAGGGGAGAATCCACGGCTAACGCCACCCGAGCTGTGTCGCATCTGCGGAGTTCTCAGCACGGCCGAATACTGCCTCGAGACTACTCAGCAGGTGGGTAGAGCGTAGTCTCTCAGTTCACTAGAGCATCGTTACAACGAAGCCACATCTGGAATAAAGATAACTTCATCGCATGCATGCTCTGTGCCTAATCTGAATGTTGAAGAAATTTGTATCGTCATTGATATGTAGCCGGAAGCTCTGCAGCAGTATCGAGTGCTTGGCTGAAAGGGTAACGGGCTCAAATTCATGTGACGGCGATGACGCTTTTTTGCGCTGATCTTTTTCTTATAGTTGAAGGGTGATTGAAATGTTATTGAAATATTACTGGCCCATACGTTGCATAGTTTTCCTTTAAAATATGATTTCTTTTCCAGCTCGAAGGGAAGCTAAAAGAAAAAATTGAGCCAAGCTTAGCATCAAAGATTGACCTGACTGCGGAGCAGGATATGTTCAACGGGTGAGTGTATTAAAGCGGCCAAAGCTGCGTGCAGCTGTAATGTCTATATTTGTTGTTTGCTTTGATGCCAGAAAAGATGCTTGTAAAACAGATGAGGATATAGTAGGAAATAGCCACGTAGCATGCACATTGTTTGCATTTCTGTGTCCGTGCTTGCGTAATGTTTGTTTTACAGCATAGATGAGTGCTAGTTTTTTTTGTTCGCTATATTGTCATTTAGTGCTGTGCAGTTGTTTAGATTTTCAAGCATAGGATTAAGCAGTTCATGCTGGAAGTGATTGGGGTGTTGCTACATTGCTCGAGGTAAAATTGTAGGTGCCTCCCCCCCTTTTCTTTTTGTAACGCAAGCATTTTGATGCTGACACTGGCAGACCAGTGTCTAAAAACATGACTTGGTCTACACTTTCAATTTTAGCACGATAGCATTAAAGAGCTTGTTTCTCAGAAATTATGGCATCTGCATCATTCGTTGCAAGCGAAAAATCATAATCTTTGCGTGACCGAAAAATGGAGAAAGATGCAAATAAAATAAATAATAAGAAAATTCTTGGTCTGAGTGGGAATTTAACACGGGTTGTTTGCGTGGCAAGTGGGTGTTCTACCGCACGACCACGCCTCTCCTTGTGAATACAGTTAAAATAATCTCCTCTGCCTGGAAATGCAGTGATAGTAACTTTCATGCTTTACAAACACACGTGTCATGTATACGTGCTTCACAATACAACATGCAATATTTGTCGTAATATTGCGTGGTACAAATATATGTTGTCATTTAACGTTAGAACTTTGAAGGCTTGTCTAAATAGCTTCATAGTTTAAAGCCACACACATTACTGCACCCCTAAAGCCACATAATATGTGCATAGCAAGTTTGAAAAGATTTCATATACTAGGTGTTTAAAATAAACACTAGGAACAGAATATCGCTATCGCGTTCAACTCTTAAATGCAAAGCTTTAAGATCTCCAAATTTTTCGTTACATTGTTGCTTCAAAGAAGTACGCGAATGTAGCTTAGCATAATCTCCCATAGACTTACAAGAGCCTTGTCTTTTTTTTTCTCCCAAGTTCAAGAAAAAAACACGTATTCATTTGAACAACTGCCAGGTCATTGTCTGCTCAATTATGGCTCTTTCCTTTGGTCACTTTGATAGGGTCATCAACAACTGCATACAACTGCTGGTTCACGACTTGGAAGCAGCGTGCGAGCCAGCCTTGTCAACGATAACCAAGGTTTGTTTACAAATAGGGTTGCGTTTTTAAAAGTCTGCTGTCTAACAGGTTAAATCACAAGGCCTGCACATGGCAAACTATGACCAAATGAGCTGGGATACCGGAATCAAGGGAAACTTTTTCCTCCTCATTGCACAGACCAACTGGTCGCTGGTGAAGGCCGTCGGTGACCAGAGTGGCTACGTGACTGCCATCACATCCCACCTGCGTCAGACCCTGCCTCTCATACGGGACAACCTGGCCAACTCGCGGCGATACTTCACCCAGTTTTGCGTCCACTTTGTCAGGTGAGCGAGAGCTTTCTTTAGAATTGCTTCCCCCCACCGCAGTGTTCCAGCGGCTAAGATACTCGGCTGCTGACTCATAAATCGCGGGATCAAATCCTGGCTGTGGCGGCAGCATTTTCAATGGAGGCGAAAATGCTGTAGGTCCGTGTGCTCAGGTTTGTGTGTACGTTAAAGAACTCCAGGTGGTCGAAATTTCTGGAGCCCTCACTACCGTGTCTCTCACAATCGTATGGTGGTTTTGGGGCGTGAAACCCCACATCTCAATCAGAATCGCTTCCAGCGGCACTAGATTATTACAGTAGTACACATACCACATCTTAATGCTCTACTGTATGGCAATTTCATTTTGGCTTAATTCATTATGAAGGAGTAATAATAGCATAGTCCTCCATCTAAATATGTATATGCACATGACAATTTTCCCAAAGCTAGAGGCTGGTGAGAGAATAGCTTTCTTCTTAGCAGCCTTCAGGTAGAACCTTAGTGATCACGCATACATCTGTTGATTGTTGCTATTACAGATGACCCAGCACACAATCTGAAGGATGTTGCAGCCTTAATCTGCTATTCCAGTCTTAACATTTCATAATCTAGGAGGTCATTCCAAGAAGCCGCATTTTTGTTGTTGTGCCCTTGCCATACGTCACTTTGACCAGGTGTTGGTGTCAGCGATTATTTGAAATTTCAGCATCGGAAGCTGCTATTTTAGCTAGTATGGTAACTGCTTCTTTGTATTCACATTGTCTGAAAACAGGCTTTTTATGAGGTCCAACCTTTGTCACAGTTTGTCTCTGAATAATAATTAACAAAAAAACTTAAAATGGTAAATGTAGCCAAGTCAGTTTTGTTGTCGGTATTACCACTGTTTTGTGATGAACAAAATCTTAACTAATAAATGCAGGTGGGACACAGCATAAGTAACTGTTATTTCGGACACTGTCTGTGGCAATCTGGCAATAACGTGCATTGGCAATCCTGGCTGGAAGAAATGCAGAGCAGCACAAGGTACCTCAACGAAAAGTGGGCGCTTACTTAGAAAGTTGATGAGCTGTTTTGATTTGGGTCGATAAATTCAAATCGCCATCTTTGCAGCATCGGATGCTTCGCAGACTGCCATAAAATTAGACGGTTCACCTGCCAAGTCGAAATTTGTTTAGTGTGCAAACATACAACCATAAAGGCCATACCATACTGGAAGCCCTGCTACAGTTATTAGATCTAGTCTATGAATCTCACTGGGGGTAGCAAAATGGTGTGAAAATAATTCTGGAGGTTTTGAGCTAAGCTACAAGAATTTCTAATAACTTTCTTTATTAAAATTAATCTAGGCTGTAATAAGTCAAATTAAGCGTAATTGTAAACGTTTCCTTCACTGCCTGTGACAGAAATAAGTAAATGCAACTACTCTTGATGTGAGAGTTCTCAACTGTCCTTGGGAGTGTAGTGGACTCTTGGCTACTGAGTTGTATGTTGACCGTAGCTCTTTATACCTTCCCAGTTCATTCATTCCAAGGCTGATCAGCCAGCTGTTCAAGTGCAAGCCCATGAGTCCTATTGGTGCTGAGCAGGTGAGTTTGGTGACGGAAAAGAAAATTCGCTATACGAACGTGGGAAAAAAAATTGCCATTTATAACTCGATGGTAGTAGTAGTAGCAGTACTATAACGTATACAGCAAATTGAGTCCTGTGACCCCTTTTGAATTTAAAGGGGCCCTGTATCGCTTTTTGAACACTGTTAGAAAACCCTGCCTATCGGTAGTCGAGACTCCTGAGAGCTTGATTGCTAAATATTATTGGCGACTCCAACAGAGCACTCGCCACCTATTGGCTGCGCCGAGAAACAGCGCTGTCAGGGTCAACCTTGAAAGAACATGCATTACCAGGTTGCGCACATTGAGAAGCGGCCGCATAGTAGTTCCTTTATTTTCGCCATGCTGCATGCACGAGCCCAAAAAAGAAAAAAGCGATGTCTAATGACCAATGCACTGTGCCGCAATGCGGGGCATCGCGATGGAAAAATGACAACGTCTCATTCTATCACTTCCTAAAGGATGCAGACGACGCATGACGAAGAACGGTGCAAATCAGAAACTTACGCATTTGAAAGAAGGTGACTGACATATGGAAGCTTGTTCTAATCAGTTCACTTGTGACGAATAAATTCTCTTCAGTGAGGACATAATTATTTAGCTGTGTGCATTCTTATCAAGATTTGAGTTTTTTTAAGCACGAAATCAAGTTTCATTTATACTCTATAAGCAAGCACATTAAACATTTTTTGCGTTGCGTGTGTGACTATTTTTCTTATATGCTTGTTTTCTGCACAAGTCGTACTGCTACCTATTCTCAAATTAAGCTGCTGTAGTCCTTTCCCCCCAAACATTTTTGATTTTGCATGTGTGTATATACACGCACACAAACAGGCACACGAATGTTACGTGCGTGTAGCATGTATGTATGTTTGTGCATATATATGTATCACGTCCGTGCATTCTTAGTGTGCGTGCATATATCTGCTTTTAGTATCAACTACTGCCAGCGAGTGTTCGGAAGCACACAACCTTATTCATTAGAAATTAACCTAAGAACATGGATCGGCGAACGAAAAGAAAGGAGCACTCCTACCACAATCGAAACTTCGATTTGCTTTATGTCAAGATACACTAGCCCAGGCATAGCACCGTTCTGTAATCAAGTGAGCGGCACGCGTAGTCAGCTTTTAACATGACAACAAAACTCAATGAGATACATGCACTTGGTAGCACGAGTCGCAGCTTAGTCACCTTGAAAACTGTTAAAGCCTTGCCTGTAGCAGTGTAGCAACGCAGCACAAAAGTGCTAGCTCTTTCAGAGAAGCCGGCCACACATGAGCAGTTGCCTTCAACCTCGGGCTTGCTAGACAGGTTCTTCAACTTGGTTTGAATCTGGCGTGGTCTGCCGAAGAGGCTCGATGTTTGCATGCACGCCACAACTACTTCCACTGTTTCACTAGTGAAATCCTTCATGTCGTTGAGAATGAGGCGGTCTGCAGCCAGCACCCGTTCGCCTTCGACGAAGCAACGCAATCCGACGCCACGATAAAAAACCTTCAGCATAGCGCCAAGCAAAAGTGCCGCGTTGACCCTGTTAAGCGTTGTCATCTTTTTGTTTTTTTTAACAGCGTTGCCAGCACACGCAGCATTTTATGGAGTTGCGAATAGAGCAGCTCGTGGCCTGGAATTCACAATAAATTACCAAAGTGAGCTAAAAATTGCTTTATCTTCTTACAACAAATGAGGAAAGAAGGTAAAAATCAATAATCACAGCCATTTTATCAGTCATCGACTGATTTGAGCATGGCGCGCTCGGTCGTTGAAGGGTTAGCCTCAACTTGTCCACACATGCCCTTTATTCGAATAAAAAAAGAGAGAGAGAGAAAGCCTCAATGTCACGTGGCGTGTGTGGTGTTTTTGTTTTTTTCGTGCCATATTTTGCTGTTTAGTTTACAGCGCTTTCGTTGGGATGAGAAAGGAGGGAATGCAATTGCAGCATGCAACAAGTCTTTGTAACTGTGCTCGTACTGGACGGAATCTAAAAATTTTTGCTGCAGTGAATTTGTTAGGTCCTTCATTGAATACTGTGCTTGTGCGAATATTCGAATGCTTCGAATATTCGAACAAATAGTAGGGTATTCGAAATCGCTTCGATTTGAATTTAAATTGTTAAAAATTTCGAAGTATTCTCAAGGAACTAATAAAAACATATTAATCCGAATGTATTGCTTGTAAAGGTGGTTTCACTAAGGTGTAAGAGTGCTAAACCGTGAAAGCACCTATCCAGGAGAAATCCGCTTTGCGGCAAAGCCTCCTTTTAAATTTGATTGATTGATTGATATGTGGCGTTTAACGTCCCAAAACCACCATATGATTATAAGAGACGCTGTAGTGGAGGGCTCCGTAAATTTCAACTACTTGCCTCGTTTTAAATTTAAACGGGCCCTGCAACACTTTTTGAGCATTGTAAGAAAAACACTGCCGATCGGTAGTCCAAGCTACCCAGGACACGCAAGCCAAACATTATAGTGCAGCACGCGGCGTGCGATTCACAAGAAATTCTCAAAATCAGCTGAAAATTGCTCTCATCTCTCGGCAAATGACTCCACAAGCTGAGAAAGCATGCGTGACGTATTTTTTCTTCTTATGCTATCCCTCCCGGCGTAGCTTCCAGCGCTTTCTTTGGGACGAGAAAAGAGAATTCGCTTGCAGTGTGCGACAAATCTTTGCAGCTTTGCGTGTGCTGGAAGGATTCTAAAAATTTTGGGCTAGTGAATTCATAAGGCAATAAGCTTCTTTAGTGAATGCATTCCATGGCTCCTTCCTTGTAAAGGTGTCGCACGGCCCCTTTAAATAGAAATATTACGCTCAATTGAATTCATTTTATTAAGCTTAAAAGCTTGTTATGATGGCTTATATGCTCAGAGAATAGTAAACGTAAAAATGTTACCGACCAAGCTGCTGCTGGGGTACCGACCAAGCTGCTGCTTTTTCTCACCTAATCACGCTACTGACGACTCCACAAATATTGGCTCACTTTGACCCATTCGCTCCGACGGAAGTTCGAACCGATGCTAGTGGTCACGGAATCGGAGCCGTGTTAGCCCAGCGCCAACGGGGACACGACCGAGTTGTCGCCTACGCTAGCCGCCTCCTCACAGCTGCTGAGCGCAACTATTCTATTACGGAGCGTGAATGTCTTGCTCTTGTTTGGGCAGTCTCAAAGTTCCGCCCATATTTATATGGCACTAATTTCACTGTGATAACTGACCATCATGCGCTATGTTGGCTTACGTCACTGAAGGATCCTACTGGCCGGCTCGGGCGCTGGGCTCTGCGACTCCAAGAGTATACATTCACGGTGACGTACAAGTCCGGACGCCTACATCAGGACGCAGACTGCCTGTCGCGCTACCCGGTCGCTGAGTCGAGCACTATGCATGACACCGACACCGAGCCTTGCGTCTTTTCCCTTTCGCAAGTGACATGCATCGGTGACAAGCAGCGCTATGATGCGTCCTTGCGTGCTATCATTGAGAGCCTCGAATCACCATCTTCCAGTCAGTCCTATCGCTCGTTCGTGCTCCACGATGGTGTATTATACCGCCAAAGTTTTGAGCCGGATGGACCGGCTCTACTGCTTGTCATTCCGAAACACCTTCGCTCGGAAGTTCTACATGAACTTCATGACCTTCCGACTGCTGGTCACCTTGGTGTGTCACGCACTTACGACCGAATACGCCGACGCTTCTACTGGCCAGGGCTTGCACGCTCAGTCAGAAGGTACGTTGCGGCTTGTGAGAAATGTCAGCGCCGCAAAACGCCATCGACACTTCCCGCCGGACGCCTTCAACCACTCGATATTCCGTCAGAACCGTTCCTCCGCGTTGGCTTGGACCTACTTGGCCCTTTCCCCTTGTCTTCCTCGGGTAACAAGTGGATAGCCGTGGCCACCGACTACGCCACGCGTTATGCCATCACACGGGCTCTCCCAACAAGCTGCGCTACAGATGTCGCCGACTTCCTCCTCAAGGACGTGATTTTGCAACACGGAGCCCCACGGCAGCTGCTTACAGACCGTGGCCGCACCTTTTTGTCGAAGGTCATAGCCGACATCTTGCAGTCCTGTAAAACGAGACACAAGCTGACTACGTCATACCACCCGCAAACCAATGGACTCACGGAGCGCCTAAATCGAACTCTTACAGACATGCTCGCTAAGTATGTTTCTACCAACCACACTGACTGGGATCTCGCGTTGCCGTACGTCACATTTGCCTACAATTCTTCGCGCCATGACACTGCCGGTTACTCTCCATTTTTTCTGCTGTTTGGCCGAGAACCAACATTGCCTCTAGACACCGTCATACCGTCTCCTGGAGTACCCACCAGTGAATATGCCATGGACGCTATCACTCGGGCCGCTCACGCACGCGAAATTACCCGTACTCGCCTTCTGACCTCTCAAGAGAAGCAACGGCGCTTGTATGACCAACGACACCGCGACGTACACTTTCGACCCGGTTCTTTGGTACTGCTCTGGTCTCCGACCCGTCAAGTTGGCTTGTCAGAAAAACTGCTTACTCGCTACACAGGCCTATACCGTGTCCTCCGTGTGGTTACGCCTGTAACGTATGAAATTGGTCCTGCCACCCCATTGCCTTCATGTGCCCAACAGGCTACCGATATTGTACATGTTGCGCGCTTGAAGCCCTACAACTCTCCTAGTGACGTTGACATCTAAATGCGCCGAGACGGCGCTTGCGCCGCCGGGGGTTATGCTACATGCATGTATACTGATATTCTAGGGGGCGACGCGCGTGTGTGCCTGACGAGGAAGACGAAGGGTTGTCTCCGCTCGATCGCTGGTGAACCGGGCACGCCATTACCGCTGGTTTGGAATATATCTAATCCCCAGCCTCGTCGTTACGGCGTCTCTTCTTTTCCGTAACAATATTATAAGGGTTATGACTCGCGTCCTGCCGAAAGTCAAATCCTGCTACTGCTGAAGTTGTTTTGACTTCTGTTGAATGAAAAAAAAAAAACGCATTTGCATAGAGGCCCTATTTCAATTTTTAAATAATATTGTGCAGGTTAGTTGGGTCATAATAAAGGTGCCCATTTTTCTTCATATATCATATGTACTATTCAAATTCGATTCGAAATTATTCGACCAAAATCACTATTCGCTTCGAGCCTAAAATTCACTATTCGCACTAGCTTAGTGAATACACTTCATGGCTACTTGCAAAAGTGTTGCAGGGCCCCTTTAACTCTTTCCTTACCACGGGAAAATTGGCCTATTTTTGTATGTTGCAGTTATGAATTTTCTGTGCCGTCGCTACTAGATTTACAGTGCCATGCAATACATCAAAATAAAGAAGAATGAATGTACTTTTGAATGCTTTTTTTATTTTAAAACAATAAAGAAAATTTATTTGGCGAAAAAAATTCGTATACAAAAAAAAATAAAAAAAATCATGAATTTTATTTGAAGACAAAGCAATATCTCAGACAAAAAATTTTTCTGAGAAATTTCGAAATATACAAAATGTTTAATAATCACAGGGCAACATTATTTACAAGAATCGTTAAAATTGACAAAGTTGTTTTTGAGTTACAAAAGAATTGCCTGATGCATAGCGAAATAGTGAAGTTCTGAGTTGGTCCTACGCGAGATTTTTTTTTTTTAAGAAAAAAAACATTACAGCAAAATATTACATACCAAAATGCAAGTACTAAATGTAGGGTTGGAAAGGTACATTTGACGGAAGAACTGGCAGATCTAAATAGGTAACAAAAATTGACAAACAGAAATAATCAGGTACGTTCACAACAAATGTCGTAATGATTTACTTATTTCTTCCGAGTATTTCACAACTTTGTCTCGAATGTATTGCCGAATTCCGGAGCGCACTTTGGATTTAACCATTCTTTCATCAACTGAAATTTCGCGATACGGCTGGAAAAACGTTGCAGAGCAGTCATTGATGTGTTGAAGAAGCCAGACACCTTGTCTAGTTTTTGTGCGGTAGCGCCGTTCGTTTCGGGATCCGAAACATGCAGCATGGCCAGAAGTGCGGTGAAATGCCGCCTTGACATGACTTTTAGCGGAAGAAGTTCCGAAAGCATTTTAGTCGTGCTCCAGTACAAATTTATACGCGGAAGTTCTAATATCCCCATATACATCAGGAGTCCGATGAACTTCATCATCTTCTCCGGCGTCACTTCCTTCCACGATCCGTCTTTCTCACTGTATGTCGGCTTTTCAAGTATGTGGGTCCACGCATACTTGTTGGTGTTGAGACAGATTGCGCGGATCACCTCCGCCGTGAAGAAGAGGCGAAAAAAAATCCAGTGCTCTCGTCAGCCGATGTGCGCGACTGCGGAGCGCCATGCCGAGGTCGATGCCCGGATCCCTCTGGGGTCGGAAGTCCATGTGTCTTTGTGCTGGAGGCAGCACATCGCCCCCATATGAAGTAGACACGCTAGAAATAATAATAACAATATGTGGGACACATACAGAGCAAGTCAGCCAGCTCCAGAACACGACAAACAAAAGAGAAAGTGAAAACCAAACATACCCGCGACTAACAGCTGACGTTCCCGGCTGATCTGATGAAATTTCTTCATCGGAGCTAAAATACGATGTCACCACATCGTTGTCTGATTCCTCACTACTCGAGGAATTCAAAAGATCGCTCGTCAAGGCGTCGGCATCGAGCGAAATTGGTTTTTTTTGAGCGCGCGTGGTTTCTGATGTTGACGCCATCGCGTGAATCACATGCGCTTCAACCTTTGAACGGGCGTGACCTTTAAAAATCACCGCCACGCGGTAAAAATGCGAACCGTACAGAAAAAGCAAATCTAGTGTGTGTACTATCGCCTAGATGGCGCTACAAGTCCATAGGCACGGTGTTTTTTGAAAAATAGGGGCGCGAAATCATCGTTCACCGGTGAACGATGCCTAGTGGCGTGGTAAGGAAAGAGTTAAGGTGGCCAGTAACTGCTGCCTCTGTTTCCTCTGGCCTGCTATGTAATTGATGACAAGATCGTCAAGGAGAGAGAAAACATTAATTTGCCCTTTTTGACATGAATTATTAAATTTCCTGCTGCATGCAGTGCCATAATTATGTCTCACTTGTTCACAGAAGCCAGAAGCTTCGATTATGGACCAGCATAGTTTTCTGACGATTATGACAAAGTGCTGTATGTGTTACAGCAAAAGCTACAGACACTTGGTGCCATTGCTCTAGAAGAGGGTTCCTAAACCACTTGTTCAAGTGATAATTGAATGACTTCACTGTCAAATATTGCTGTCTCATTAATCAAATGTCAAAAAAAGTTTCCCGAATTCGTGAAGAATGGGCAGAGTACAGGGATTCGAAACATGGTCGAAGCACTTCTCTTGTATTCTCATTCCAACGAGCGCGCTGAGAGCTACATCAGGAGGGATGGCATGAGGAAAAGAAGTTACTTCTGCATGCATCACGGCTCTGAATGAGCATGATGAATAGAGATCACTCTCTCTCATTGTGATTCGTGTGCATAATGGGGTACACTGTGTAATGTTAGCAGTGCGGTGCTGGCGTGAGCCAAAAAGCACATTTTAAGTGCGTAGACACTGCCAAGCTGTCTTGCACAGGTTTTTTTCCCCTTCACAACTGCTTTCTTTTCCTGCAACATTGTATTTGCTGCTGCAAAAATAAGTAAAGTCAATTCAATCTGATCCGGACGCCACTATTGATTGATGTCGGCTATCAGGCACTAGCATGCTATCTGTTGTTTGACATCAAACAGCGGGCACCAGCAACTTCGGAGAGATTGAGAACAGGCCTTTGTATGAAAACACAGGGCACGAGAAAACTGCAACTTTTCGCTTTGCTTGTAAGCTTTTCTTGCTGCGCATGATTGCTAGATTTAGCCGAACTGTTCATAGCAGTGTCTGTGATCTGCAGGATGTGTTTTATGAGAAAACCCATGCTCTGTATGGAACAGGAAGAGGCTGTATTCATGCACTTTAGGAATGGCATATTGAAAGAAACGTTCTGATGGCAACACATAGTAGTACATGCCAAAGCATTCTACATACTGTATTGATCTGCATACGCATTGAGAAGTTGCTAAAACCTTACCAAAAATTCTAGAGCTCATTTGATGCTCCCCTGCCATATCATTACGCGTGGCTCTTTGTTTCAGCTCTTGCTAGACACTCACAGCCTCAAAATGGTGTTATTGGACCTTCCACTGCTGGAATCACAGGTGGCCAGAAAAGCTCCTGCAAGGTACGGTGCAATGTTGAGTGTAGCGTTGCTGTCAATGTGTGCTAGAGCTGAAAAACAATTAAAAGAAAATAAAAAAAATTTGTATTTAGCTTTAAAAGCTATTGGCTAATAGTGCAAACTCTTCATACCTGTGGGTGGGGTGCCATCTTTCGCTCATATAGCAATTATTTTTGCTTGCCATTTTGTTGGGTACTGCTACTGACCTGAGGGGCTAGTTGGCTCACTTTAGTGGAAGGTTAGTAAATGCGGGAAAGAATAGATGCACTGCACACATAGAAAGCTTCATCACAGACTACAACTGCTTAATTAAGCCTTTGCTGTTACATGAATCAGCTTGCAAGACAGTCCTAGTGATAAAAGTGCATGCAGATGGAAACAAAAAAAAAAAAAAGAAAGAAAAACTTTCCCCTATGTTCACGCGGCGCCCTAAGCTTTCCGTGTGCCTTTCTTTTGTAATGTCCTTCTTCCTGACTTGCGCTTCAAAAGAGTACTGACACAGAAATTTTGGCCTCTCATTTTTTTTTTCAGCTGTGTGGTGCTGGGGGCCTGCTAGTCATAACAGGGCACATCGTTTGCTGAAGTGCACAGCATATAAATAATTACAGGCTCCTCATTACAGACCAGTCTCAGTTTTTGTTTGTGAGAGCCTCGAAAGCGACAAGTCACCAGGTGCAACTATCATCACCTAGCAAGTGCAACGCTTGACCACACTGTAACCGCTTGATAACCGCTTGACCACTTTCGTAACTTCAAGATCTATGTTTCGGTGTCTCAAAATCAGACAAGCTCTTGGAGTCGGCGAAGACAGGAGGCGCGGTCGGACCCAAACCAACACATTTATTTAACTTACTTTTACAATAACGATATAGTCAGCCGAATCATATACATGACTACTGATCAAACGCTAAAACACAACCTTATATAATCCAAATACACCCAATCAAAATAACAACAAACACAAAGTTACATGGAGGCGGTGTCGCCAATGTTCGACTCACCCCAAGGGACCCTGTCAGGAGGCGAGCATCTGCCCCAGCCGCCACACACCAAAGAGAACCGGTTATGTGTTATGTGCCACAATCGAGCCTCACCGCCATGCGTCACTGCTGGCATGACTGCACTAACCGTAATGATGATGACGGTGATGAATGCTCGCAAGCACAATGCCACCTACCGTTCGATGGTTGTGAACCCTAAATGCGACAAATGCGCAAAACACGTGTGAATCACGAAGTGTAAACAACTTTACAGGAGATGTTGGTGCCTCCACAATGTTAAATACCTTCTAAGCTACTTCCCTGTTGATATTTCGCAGATGATATACACATGTTCACAGAAATCGATCCCGCAGGCTATCTTGGGCGTGAAATTTTGTGTCAATACTCCTATGATCATTGGTCACCATTTCGTCATAAGACTCAATGACGTGGGAATGAAAACAATTTACTATGGTATCTTGATTTGGTCACAGTTCGAATGTCATATACAGCTTAGCTGTAAACACCCCCCGCCATTGCTCGAGCATGCTGGACACGTTAATATAGAGCACAAAGGTCATGCATGCATCATGCGTATTTCTCAATGACTACAATAAAACATAGCTAACTGCCAGGAATGCAGCATAAATGTGCGTTTAGTGGTAGTGTGCAGTCACCGCAAAGTAAAACATAACAATATATATTCTTATATTCACGATTGTAGTGTGCAGCATTCGTTAGTTTCGCATGTTTAAATATTTGAATTTGTGTAAATTCTCACCTATGTAACTGCATATACTCTCTGTATTTTCAAATTTCAAATATTCGCATGCCCTTACAAATAAGCTGTTGAAACATAACCATATATCTGTGGTGATTGCCACCAGAAAGACTAGCCAGTCATGCTGACAGCACTTGGAAGACAGTGTGAGAAATTACTGATAAAGGGCTAAAAGATAGAAGCAAGAAAAGGTGCTACAAAGAGTGTTTCTTAGAGGCACCTGATGATGTTTTGCTGAGCGACATTATCTCAAGTTTTCCTGCTAAATGGATTGTTTGCATAGTTGACCTCACATTACGAAAAATGAAATTATATTTATATAGTTTCACTGCAGATTTGGGTCTCTTCTTTGTTTATTGCGATTGCAATTATATGGACAGTCTCAGCTGGTTTTTGCTGTCGTTGTCGCCACCGGAGCTGCCGCCATCATTCACTATATGTATATCGTGTAAAAAACAAGATCGACTCGGCCGCACTGGCGTGTGCTGGCCTAGTAAAAAGAAGAGGAGATTGAAGTTAGATGCATGTATATATATACGAGGAAGGATGCACTAGCCTCCTCTTTCAGCGGAGCGAACATCGTCTTTCCGGCCGGGGACTGGGGTCGTCTGCGTGCACGCTTATCTCATGAGCGAACAAAGTGTGTGTGTGGGGCACCTATGGTTGCAATGCCATCGCGGCAACGATCAGCGCCCAACTTGTGCACCCAGAGCAGGCGGGAACTTCTATGGGCTGTGCTCTCAACACGAAAAAAGGGTGTCGAAAGTGTACCCGGAGCGGCCATGTTCTCTTACACCAGCATTTTGTAGAGTTACGCGAGAGCAGATCTAAACGAGTTGACTGCCAGCCTCATTTCGTATAACATTGAAATTTGTCGCTATGGCCGCACCGCAGCAAACTTGGTTACTTAGCAAGCACATGTTTACTACAATTAATATTGCTCATAAAGATGCTAGCCTTGCTTCATAAAACATTTGCATATGTTGCTATCACATTCACTGCTTCGCCCTTTTGGCGAAACTGTGACTTTTTTACTTATGAGAAGTAAATGCATTACTGGAATTGCAGCGTTACCGAAATGCATGACAGTTGTGTTCTTTTTGTATCTACACCGCGCGCCGTGCAGCTACACCAAGATCGTGGTAAAGGGCATGACCAAGGCGGAGATGTTGCTCAAGATGGTGCTGGCACCTCACGAGCCAGCCGAGAGCTTTGTGGAGCACTACACCAAGCAGCTGCCCGAGTCCGACGCCCAGGAGTTCCAGAAAGTGCTGGACATGAAGGTTCGTTGTAGCTCTCGTCAACCTTTTTCACCTCAACAGGCGCTACAAAAAAGGCTTCGACATTGCTGCTTGTGTGACCGTGCGTAGTACTCGCGTGAAGCCAACGGGTAATGACGCCAAGAAAAGCGTTGGGAGTGTTAAGTGTAGTTTGTATTGTGGAATATTTGAACATACTTTGTAGATAGCTTATCAATGAACTATCACGTGCCTCTTAATGACATGAAACTCACCATAGTTGCCTGTACTTTTCTAATATTTGTTGGCTTCATATGGTTGTGTCTTGTAGATTAGACCCCTCGATCGATTCCCCTTCTTCTGTGTTCGTGTGTAAAGTGGAATGAGAGAAACTATCATCTTCGCCGTCATAAGCTTCACAGGGCAAGAAATGCTGTCATCTTGAAGCCTTCTTCACAAATTAGTGAGAACACTGTTTGTACCATCTACGTACTACTACAGAAATGTGAAGGGAAAAAAATGAAAAGCAACACAGCTTACGTCTTACTACCTTGCAATGAAATGTGTGGTTGGGGCTTAGCCAGTTGCTCAGTGCACTTGTTGCCTTCCCCAGTCAGCTAATCGTCCAGAAGTATAGATAGGACATAAGAACATGTCTTGTTGTCTTACCCAGCATGATGCCAAGTGATACGAATGCTTTTGTGTGTCTAGGCTGCTTGCGCATTGTTTTTTCTTTCGCTCGCAAAAATGCACCATGCAGTTTCAGCTTTACAGGCACTACCAGCAGCAGTCCATAACGCTTTGGCTTGACTTTTGAAATTCATCTGTATGGTGACTGATTTCCTAACTGCTTCACTGCCATGTGTGACTGTTTATTCTGGTAAAAAGAACAAAAGCCACAGAGGACTGGACACTACCATGATGCATATCTCCTTTTCCATTTCCTTATGTGGTTAGAATGGGCTATGCTCATTAAAAGCACGGGTCCTGCATGCTCCGCATGACTCGCATAACCGCATCGGCTTGTGTAACATCTCCCGCGAAATCCCGAGCAACGCCACCATCTTTTTTTTTTTTTTGAGAAATTTCATATATTTGCTTCCTTCTACCCACTTAAATTTTTGTTGTTTCATTCACTGTTTTAATTTACCTGACGAATGTGAATGAAAATAGTGAATGCATGTATATTTAATAAAGCATTGCAGTAGAGGTGCGGTTTCGCATTCTTTTTTTTTTAAGTGGGCCATACACCGACATGTGGAATGTTGCTCCATGGCCTAGCAAGGGCCACCCCGTCAAATCTTGTCTGATTGTCGTTCACCATCGGGGAGGGGGGGGCGTGCTCAGGATTTTGTGTTGTAAATAAATTTGTCTCCCAAAAGCTGTTCAGAAGATACAGCACTTTGTAGTGCTATAACTTGCTTCTGTGGTTCCTCAAGACAACTTTTAACAGTGGAGCTGTTCCAAGTTGAGCCTGTGCCGTCTAGTGTCTCGTGACCAGAGGGGAGAGTGAATAAAAAAATATATAATATTAAATAACAATGTTGCTTTAATTGATGTTGCCAAGTCATGATGATCATGCAGTGATGCTAGAAATGATAATGATGATAATCACAAGTGATGTTTGAGATGATGCTAAATTATGGTGATTATGATGTTTGGAGATGATGCTGAATGATCATGTTAACTCTCGAAATGAGACTAAGCTGCTTAGTCGACCCTCAGACACGCTTGCTTACAGCTTGGCTGTCCGATGGTCCTCACTGTGAGCAAATGGTTTAATATTTTTTTTTCTTGTTCTCCTGGTCTCTTTTCGATGCAGGGGCTGAAACGAAGTGAGCAGAATGTGCTGACCGAAGTCTTCCGTACCCGCATCCCCACTGCCACCTCATCCTCAGCCGCACCTTCGGAAGGAGGCACCGCGGCGCAATTGCTATCTGCACTGGCCATTGTCACGACGACCACACCGGAGCATGAGTCAAGCCGCATCCGGCGGTTTGAGAAATTAATCAAGAAGAGGCTTTAACGAGCCCCGATCAAAAAAAACAAACTCGCCAGTGAAGGACTTTCTTTTTTTTTGTCTGTCGTGCTTTTCAAGGAAGCAGAGGAGGCACAAAGCTACAATTATTTTTTTTCTGCATTAATTTAATTTGGAGGCTGCTTCCTTAGGGAAATCTTCCAGATACCGGTGTAGTATTAGCTGCTGTACATATGTAAAGTGACAAGAGTTATAAAAGTGCCACTTTTGGAATCTCTGCATTTCAGTTTCCTGGGCCGTTTTCTTCAAGTTTCATTTTGGGGCAGGTTATGACAGCCGTTAGAAAACTTTGCTGTTGATATAGCCTGCACCGTCTCCATGTCTCAATTTTTCAATAATTTTTATTCTACTGTGAACTGCTGTAGCATAAAAGCCTTTGTACATTGAATAGCCCTTTACGAGGCTAATTATTCTGTGGCAATTTGAAGCTTACTCAGTGAGTAACGAGCAATAAATGGACAGCATGGCAGCCAGCACCTTTCACACCACCCTGAAGAAACTGGGAGCAATAAACTGATGCATTGTAGTATACACTCAGAGCAGCCATCTCTGTGATGCATTTGCCTCCCTCAGTGAAAACCCGGCACTAATTAGCAGCGCAATAAATGCTGGCTGTCGAGCAGTATGAGTGATCGCTGTGCTGATTACTTCCTTTGTATTGTGGAAGCCACTGTAGAGAACACTTAAGAAATGCATGGAGTCGAGATAAGGCAATATATCAGTGGCTCACTATTTCTAGAGCTCTTTTACTGAAAATAGACTTCATAAGCTGAATGACATGTCTGTAGAGGACAGAGCTCCTGTGACTAGTTAGAACAGAGGTAATGAAAAAGGTAAAAACCATTTTCTTCTTGTACAGTTAAAGCTGCCACAAGATCAGAACGGTTATTTTTTGTGCCATTGTTCCAGCTGCTGCCGGTGTCTGTTACCACTGTTGCGCGAAATAACAAAGAAAAAGAAAAAAAAGCTAATCATAAAGAATATTCACAATGGAATGGAGTTCGAACCTGGGCCCCTTGGTGGAATTCCAGTATTCTACCGCAGAGCTATATGCCACTGCTTGAAACTCTGTTGCAAAATAATTCTGTAAAGGCTTCATGTCGGAAGGAAGACGTTAACATGTGATAGACAATCGAGCCTTTTTATAAGGGACACTGATGTAAAATACAAACTGGTATAAGAGACACTAATGTGCCTTGCATTGAAATAGGCTTTGATAGAAAAATGCATACACGGTACCATGCTTATAAGAGGCATTTCATATAAAAACCAAGAATTGCTCCCCAAGGCACGCCTCTTATAAAGGGGTTCAGCTGTAGTATAACGTGATCGAGGAGTGAAATAACTAGGCGTCACACAAGGCCCCTTATGTAACTAGATGTCGTGCAATGCGAATCGAGTAACGAGTAAGTGGTTGAAGGCTTTGAACCCATTACAGAATGCTCACCTATAATTCCTCGTCGTCAGCCGCTGTATTATTGTAGTGCAGCTGTCTCATGTTAACATATGTAATACAGCATTGTAGGATAGTGAAATAAGGACCATGAATCACGCAATGTGAATTACATAACTATACTCTCAGACAACTTACCTTGGCAACAAAGAGAAAGCTCTGTTTGGGGGCGGAGCTCCTGCATGTGTACTTCTCAGCGAAGTGATCCGGTTCAGCTCGCACTTCAATTTATTGCTGAATTCGAATAACAACATTACATACCATTTGCGCCATCTCCTTAATAGCCATTTGCAAGGGAAATTCATCACAAGCTTATTCAGCAAGTAGTCGGTATAGCTGGAGGGCGACAAGTGCTCGCCTTAAGACGAAGACACCATTTTGTCTGCTAGATGCATGTAAAACGTGCAATGTTTTCACACATGACAAGATATCTCCTTGGTGTGTGCTGCGTCTCTTTCTAAACAGGATTCCGAAGAAAATGCAGTAATGTTTTTGTGGTTTTCACGCGAAAAACAAGGGCGCACTTGTAGGACTACATTCTTCAGAGATTGCACACACCCCGGATGCATTGGCTTCATAGCCTTTTCTTCATTGCCAAGGAAAGTTGTCCGCTGCGAGTATGTTGGTTCATTTTAAAGCTTCCAAACTATTACAGAGGGCACGAGCGTAATTCTTTATTGTCATCAGCCACCGCATCAACAAAGCGCACACAATGTGTTGCACTCATGTAGCAGGTACCTCGCTTCTCTGCAGAATGATGAATAATGGTTTGGCACTAGAAAGGCCACTTTCCCAGCTTACGCAGAGCTGCACTTTGCACGCAGACTTTGCGTTTTTCTCTTCTCAGTCAATGGTATTGATTCCCCCCTGCAAAAGATTTTGCAGTGCCTTCGGGGTCAGTCCCAATTTGACCGAGCGTGATACCATGCGATGATCTTGTTATGCTGGTGTCATTTCTGGTGCCCTGCGACATCATGATGACATCATTCCATAATGACTGTTTTGCATCACTTGTGTTGTCACTGATGATCGCTTTTAGCGCTTAATAAGGCCTCTCACTTTTGTAACAATATTTCCTCTCATGTTTGCACATGGAAGACACTTTGGTGCACAGGTGTGAAAAACCAACACCATGACAGAGGCAGTGCATGCATCGAAAAAGCTTTTAATTCTTAATGCGTAATTTAATGAACGGTAGTGCTCTCCCACATTTCATTGTACAAGAATCACAGTTGTCCGTGCAAATGTCACTATGTACACTTTTAACACTGATGATGATGATGTAAGTAAACGAAGACGAACAGTGCGGAACGTCACCGCAAGGTTATGCTGATGATGCGCACGTCGTCGTAAGGCTTGTCCGTCTTGGGGCTGGTCCGCACAATGCTGATGTTCTGCACCACCTCCATGCCGCGAGTGACTCGACCGAATACAGTGTGCTTGTTGTCGAGCCAAGGAGCGGGTATCACGGTGATGAAGAACTGTGAACCTGTGTAAGGAGAGGTGGTGTTACAGATGACCCACAGACGGTTAACCGTGCAATGCAAAGGCGTCGTAACCGTGCAAATGCAAAAGGCTGCTTTAGTGACAAGTAGTAAGGTGTGAAACTCGCACCAGAGTACCTCATTTCACTTAACTTCACTGTTCAGCACTCTTACAACTTGCCTGCTGCTGTTAAAGAGTTCAGTACTCTACTGGCTGATTTCACGCCATGTTGAAGTGTGAAGTTCAAGCAAAAAGGGAGCATGAAACTGCACTGGGCTCAAGGGTGTAGCTTGGAATTCAGTGCGAAATACTCGCTCTCTGAATGAAAACGCCAAAAAACAAAAATATAAAAATCTGCTGACATGGCGAGTGTTGCCACTATCTAGTCTACTGTGTCCATCATCCAAAGTCATGCTAGTTCTATGAAGATGGAACAATCTATAATGACATCATCATGCATCTTTAATTGAGCTTTGTGCAATGTGCTACTAACATATCGTAATGGGCTCTATATAAATCTGCCTATGAATTATTTAATGGTCCCTCTCCTTTCAATTCATCTGGTTACATCAACCTTGTTTAGGCACTGCCACGCCATAAACCTTTCGTCATTGCAAGGCAGGGCTGAATTCAGATGTAAAATGTTAATAATAGCATGTAGAACACAGGAAGTACAAACTATGGCCTGTTATGGTGCGTTGTGCGTGTTTTATTTTATCAGGAGGAAAGAGAGCAAGAATGGTATACCCTGCTAACACCTATCACGATACCCTTTCAATTTCAAACACATTTGATGTTCAAGTCAAGCCATTACATCTATCAATAGTTATGGCAACTTATAGTCTATGATGTGATCGTAATGCTAAAGCACATGAATCAATAATCTCGATAGTATAACTATGCACTTGTTACATACTATGAGCTGCCTTAATTTTCAGTGCACTTCTGGATCTCCCATTCAAGGGAATTAATTACATCACAAACACACCTAACACTAGTTCAGCAATTACGGGTGTGATCTTTGTTTATGTGCAGTAATGCCCTAAAAGTACAGCACATTCCTGAAGACTAGTTTATCAAAGTATGTCTGAGGTGAGCATTTATATAAAGTGGTGGTTTTCATGTTTGCATACATGTGCAAAAAGGTAAGCAAACCTTAATGTACACAAACAGCACTTTTGAAATAGCCATGAATTTCAGTATGCATGACTGTTAACGAATAGTCATATCTTATTACTGGAACAAGTAGAGTGCTACCAGTAGCCTTTATGAAGATAGTTGTAGTGACTTGTCAAAGTGAAATTGTTCCTTTCACTTTCCTCATTTTCTGTGCTGTACATTGCTTTCTTGCACTTGGTGTGCTGCATGCCTACCTGTAATAGCGTGATGCTTAGATACATCAAATTGCATGATCTATCACTTATGGTATATGAACAAGTTAATTAAACTTACTAAGCAAAAGTCTCTAAGGACCTCCTGTTTAAGAGGCCCACTAGTGGGCACATCCAAATGGTTCAAGTACAGATGAGCCTAGGCGACATAAAGTGTTCTGTTGCGTTATAGTTCAAGGGGATGTCTTACGTGACAGTCCACCTGTTTCTGTAACTGCAAGATTCAATGAGGAAATTTATTCTGCAGCGCCTACTCAGTAAGCAAAACTAGCAGAGTGTCAATGCAACTGCACTTTAAGCAGTGTCACGCGAGCAAAAAAAAAAAAAAATAAATGTTCTCTGATGCACACTGTTGTCCTTTATGAAAGGGAACATTCAAGAACAAGGCCTGCTCTCTGCAGCAGCTGCCTACGGCACCATCAACTCACAACTGAAGAAAACATCTCTGCTTTTGGCATCATCTATCGACAAATAATATAATGAGTCATGGCCGTTAGACAAGCGCTACTAGATTATGCTACCGGTCTGCTCTCGCAGCAGGCAGTGCCACCAAAAAAGAAAGGCCCTGCTTTTGTCAGCTGTTGGTTGACTAAGCTGTAGGCAGCTGCTGCCAGAACGCAGGCCAAGCGATCGAATGTTCTTCTTCATATAGTACGACAGTGTATAGTACTCATGTAATACAAAAATTTAGGACTGAGTAACACACATACTTTCGCTCCCAGCACCTGCGCAATTCGTGTCATATCGGTGCAATTTGAAGTGAGCACTTGCATCAGAGTTACCGTAACCTTTAGCGCCTAAATTTGTGGCGAAATTACATCGTCATCATGAGCAATTGATAGTAGCAGCTGTCATTGACATCTTTCAATCTGCTGAATACTATACAAAGACATTGAGAAGACAAATCAGTAAGCCCACAAGAAACTGAAACCAAAGTGAAGCTAAGCATAAAAAAGGTAGACGCTTTGACAGGCTCGTCAAGAGATCTCGGCGAGCTGTTTGCAATAATTCACTACGATTTCAGGGAAATCAACGCACAACCCACCATTAGTATTGGGTCCGGCATTGGCCATGCTCAGCGTGTACGGCCTGTCGTGTTTGAGGGTCGGATGGAACTCGTCCTCAAAGTTGCCTCCCCATATGGATTCCCCGCCTGTGCCCGTTCCCGTAGGGTCGCCCGTCTGCACCATGAAACCCTTGATGACTCGATGAAAGATGTGTCCATTGTAGTAGCCTGCCTTGGCATGCACGCAGAAGTTCTCCGCTGTCCTGGGACACTCCTTTGTGAACAGCTGTAGATGAATGTCGCCCATGGAGGTGTGGATGATGGCGGTCGGGAAGAGCCGTTGCTGTGCTGAAGACTCAGTGGCCGAAAGGATATCTTCCTTCGAAGGTCGTTCATTGAAGACGTCTCGCTCCTCCGTCTTGCCTTCGTCTGGTTCCCTCCTGGAGAAGAGGTAGAAACGGTTCTTGCGAAACGCCGTGCACACAAGCATGGGGTCGGCCTGCAGCGACTGCAGGGTCGGATTTTCCGAGGCGTGCGTCTCCATGGATGTGATCTGTCGGTTGGCGCCCGGCACTCCTTGGTAGAGCGCGATGTGAAGCGGCCTGATGTTGTCGTTCTTGCCCAGAAGGCGGGAACAAACGGTGGTACGAAGGTTGACTATCTTGATTCCCAGCAGCGTCGTGTACACCAGGAAATGACCCGTGTCGTCATACGTCAGGTTGCAGTAATGGAACGCTTCGGACTTCTCCAAGTCGCGGTCGCCTGCCATGCGCCGCCCGAACTCCATGTCGGGAAGCTGCTGCTGCATCTGCTGCAACTCCGAGAGCTGCTGCAGAGTCTCGTCCAGCACGAGCGTGATCTTACCCGTCAGGAACCGAAAGACACGCACCTTGCGGTCCGTGGCAATGGTGGCGAACTGCAAGCCGTCGGGCGAGAAGCACAGACCCGTGGGGTAGGACTTTGTCTTGACGAACTCGTATAAATCCGTGTCCAGCTTGGACTCGAAGCGAACACACTTGGGGAACTTGAAGTCGGCCCTCTGACCCGTCCAGTATTCGAGGATTCCCTTCTTGTCCACAGACACGACGGTTTCCATCTTGACGTTGTACCTGAGTGCCGACAGCGGAGCCCTGTGCAACGACTCGAGAGCGCGCAGCGGCTTTTCGTCCCCTTTACCGTCGTAGACGTAAATATTGCCCGTGTCCGCGTCGGAGACGGCCACCGCGGCGATCGCGTCACCTGGGCCGTAGACCCACTCGCAACGACCGGGCACGTAAGGAAGTTTCATCATGTTGATGAGGTCGAAGTTGACCACGTCGAACACTTTGAGCGACTTGTCATTCGACACGGAGCACAGGAAGAGACCCGTCGAGTTGGTCGCGACGTCCTGACGTTGCCCAGGTGAGTCCTGAAGTGTTTCACAAACTCGATGCCGTCCTCCGTCTTTTTCCAGAACTTGAGGTGACCGTCGCAACTCGCCGTGATCACGAATTCCGTCTTGGTTACGATCACGTGGGTGACGATGTCCCGGTGCATGTAGCTCTTCTCGTACGCTTCGGCGCACGGAAGGTTGTCGAGGTAGACACGCTCGAAAGGAAGAAACTTGGCCTTCTTCGGTTTCGCCGCCTCAGACGGCAGCGGGCCGATGACATCGTCGTCGGAGCTGTCGTCTACCGGCTCGTCCTCACTGTCGTGTTTTCGTTTTTCCGCCATTTTGACGCACTCTTTCTCTCCTCCTCTCGCGAATCGTACTAGCGCTACTCTCTCCGAACTCGTTGGACATTACTGCAAATATTTACGCATAAATCTTCTCTTTACTTGCACACATTATCAAAATAGAAAGAAATATTTTCGGCATACGTCTTTAAGCGCAGTTCACGACCCTCTTTGCTAGAGCGAGCCTCTGGCGGCGAACGCATTTAATCGGGAGCGCACGTGCGGCGTGCATTATTCCATCTGTGCCTGTGAGGTCAGCAGCATCCGGGACCTTCGTCTGCCTCGACATTTCTATTTTTGCGTCAGTTGGAAATTGTGTGTGCTTTACTTTGTTGTCTCTTTTAGTGATGGTTCGTGTGTAGTCCTTGTAAACCTGCACCAGGTTTCTGTACAGTGTATATAGCCGACTCAAGAGCCCCCCCTGTAAATACGAAAACAGCATTCTCGCGTCAGACATTTAATTTCAACACGGACCGTTGCCTGCGGACAGAGCCACTGCGACTGCGAGCTTCTCTTACGGCGGTGCGAGGACATGGCCATGGTTCAGCGCGACGGCAGCGGCGAAGAAGCTTTGAACAACGGTAAGAGAGCCGCTGCCAACCGCGCGAGATTGCATTGTCAAGCGCGAAACGAAGCGCTTGCGTAGCAGTTGCCCACGCTGGCTTCGTGACGCCCGCTGCGGAGACTTTGTTGCTTTCGGCGTTAATCAGGTGACTCGCTAGGAACCCTCGCTTCCCCTAGCGTAACCCCGAAACGTCGAATTTAACGGTTTACAGTCGCCGGTACGGGTCGTAGCACCGGTAGGCAGTCGCCCCCTCCCTCCATTCGTATTTTATTCTCGGCAGGTTGTACGCATGCCCGAGACTCTTGAGAAGGCTCGAACTATATTAGCTACATAACACGACTGCTGAGAGCAAAATGACCCTGATTCCGGATGGAGCGGCGGGCATCCTTCGACGAGTTTGTTTTTATCTCCGCTACAGAGGCGGCAGCGTTCGGGGGGTGCATTCGATGACACAGTTATCAGTTTAGCCTCCGTGTTCTTTTGTGTGTGCGTGTGGCATGAAGGTGGGGGAGAGCCAGCCCTGTCTAGCTTTCCTTCCGACGCTACCTCCGAATTAAAAAGAAAGAAAACGCTGCGACAACCGGTGTTGTGTTGCACGTTTAGCCCGGGTTTCACGAGCTCGCGGCACCTGCCTCCGAAATTTTATTTCCCTACTTGTCTCCCGAGCTGGCTTCGCTTGTGCGGAGAGTAGGAGCATCTTTTTTTTTTTTTTTTTTCGGCGTTGTACCCATGTTGCGTACGACTCTTTGGGAAAGGTGTGACCATGCCAGCCGTGGCTTGCCTCTCCCGACCAGTTGAGCGCCGACGGCACGACCCGCTATCGAGTTGGACGTGTCTCGTCGCTCGTTTTCGGTGTGCCCGTTTTTGGACTTGCCGTTTCTCGCCGTCTCCCCATGACTGACGGCTAAGTTTTAGGTTGTTTGCCGGCGGTGGCCGTCTTCGTTCGGTTTCTAACCGCCTTCCGGGTTTTGCATGCCCTGGTCGTCGCTTCTTAATAGAGGCGCAAATTAAGAACAAAAAAAAAATGCCCGAAAAAAAAAAAAGCGCCCTTCGTATCTGTCTTCTTCACTCTTTCCCTGCCATGTCGTCGGCCGCTTATGCGGACTGCCGCTGCGTCACGATGTCGAAACGACTGGCTTTTGTTTATCAACGTTCTCGGTAGTTTCTTTTTTTTTTTTTTGCTCGTTTAAGCTCATTTTGTAGACGTGTGGTCTAATCTGGCGAACTTTATGCATGCGGTGGCATTTGTAACCGAGCGAAAGACTACTGTGCTGGTTGAGTGGTGTGGTGGCGCGAAACCCGAAAGCATTTCTTCGTCACTTGGCAAAAACACCGTAAAGCACCTTCGCTTGAGTGACAGCCTGCAATTGAAAGGTCCCGGTCCGTGACGTCCCCCCCCCCCCCCCCCCCTTTTTTTTCTGTGTTCGAACGTCGCGTTGCTTGTGTTGTCGCTCGCATTACCGTAGGCTGTTGTAATGCCGCCGACCATTTATCCAGCCTTTATTTCCCGCTAACCCTCGCGCGACGCTATACGTTGAGCATTAGAATTTCGGCGCTTGTCATCCGAATAGCTGATAACACAGGCTTTTCATTATGTGCGTTTATTGGAATGTCGGTTCGCACTTAGTTTCACTTCACGGTTACTTTGCTTCGCCGCCGTAGTCTCCTGTATCTCGGCTCCCGTGCATCTCGTGCCATTAAACTTCGCGTTTTCGCTCTTGTATTCTTGGCCTCTTCGCATTTGGCTGTGATGCAGCATGGTTTCTACTTGTACAAAAAAAGCAGAAGCCATGGCGCCGCATAATTTAGAAAAAAAATGCTTTTACAACCTCTGGGGTTGAGCTGTTTTGTGAGTGGTAGGTCACATGAGGTGCTAGTTCGTGCGTTTCATGGTGGTCTTATGAGGGACGTAAAGTTAATCCTGTGGTTAAGGTGGCCCCGCCGCGGTGGTCTAGTGGCTAAGGTACTCGGCTGCTGACCCGCAGGTCGCGGGTTCAAATCCCGGCTGCGGCGGCTGCATTTTCGATGGAAGCGGAAATGTTGTAGGCCCGTGTGCTCGGAGGTGGTCGAAATTTCCGGAGCCCTCCACTACAGCGTCTCTCATAATCAGTCAATCATTGTGGTTAAGGTGATTGACAGATCCGTGAAGAGCAGAAACACTATTTGTGCATCTACTAGTTTTTGATATTCTTGAGGTGCTGCCTTTGTTTGGTAGTGTAGTACAAGTGTAGTTCAAATACCTAGCAGTGTCAACGGTGTATATATGAAAAAAAAAAAAAGCTCTATGGAGGGAGGAATCCATAATAGTGCTGATATGCAACTACACGTTCAGTTCGAAACAGCTGCAATCTCAGCCACGCGTGCATGTCGTTTTTGTTGGTGGTCAATACGAAGTCCTTCCTGCAGTGATTTTAGTGTTTCATTTAAGTGTTCAGCCTGATAAGGAATGATGACGTGTTTGCTACAGCTAAGCAGAGTGTAAAATCTATTTACCCAGTAAAAGCTGGCAGAGAGAAAATTTAACATCGTCCTTGTCATGCCTCCAGCCTACTAAATTCTCATACTGCAGCCGAACTCTTGCTGTTTGCAGCAGTGGGATAAAAATGGCCCATAAATTGTACTCTGTACTAGAAGTGTTCACTGGCAGTTGTGTCGAGGGTATTGGCCCACATTTACAGTCTCGCAAAGCAGAGTGTAAAATCTATTTACCCAGTAAAAGCTGGCAGAGAGAAAATTTAACATCGTCCTTGTCATGCCTCCAGCCTACTAAATTCTCATACTGCAGCCGAACTCTTGCTGTTTGCAGCAGTGGGATAAAAATGGCCCATAAATTGTACTCTGTACTAGAAGTGTTCACTGGCAGTTGTGTCGAGGGTATTGGCCCACATTTACAGTCTCGACTAAATGGTGTTCATATGCAAAGCTGGGGCTCGTGCTTAGTCTCGCTCTTGATTCTGTGTATTACACTGTTCTCATTTTCAGCCCGAAACGGCAAGGTCCTTGTATTTAAAAGGCTTTCAAGTTGGCCATCACTTGCAGGCTATGTTCAATTTGTACCAGTGTAGCTGTAAATTTGGCTGTGAAAATTCCTGCTGGATTCGCATCTTCATGAACTTGTACGCAAGTTCAATTTTGCTGCATCAATATGCCTTTCCAGCTTCTGTCAGTTCTGGTATGAATTTGGAGAGAGGATAGGGAGCCTTAATGTGCGCGCGTCTCCGTGTTTTAGGGTGGTGACAACTTCGATCATGGTTGCTTACAACTGGCTAAATTGGCCGCCATACTTGACAGGCCGCCTTGTTGGTTCTTAGCGGTCACTCATGTACATTGAAGGCAGTGTGTGTTTCAAATGAGAAGGGGGTGGTTTTTTTTTATATAGCAAGTTCTGAAAGCTGAAAGGTTTTCTGAAGCTAGCCACGATTTTGTAGAACAGGAAAGACGTTTGTGACTCGAGTTTGTATAAAATACCAGCTAAAACAGTTAGTTTTTTACACCTGGTATACCCACCGCATTGGCGGAGTGAGGATATTTAGGGAGCCTATATTTTCGAGGGGGAGAACCTTCGATGTCACTGTGAACGGGACTTCAATGTCTGCGCGGCGTTCCTGAAGCAAATTCACCCCTTCCCTGCAGACACCTCAAAGGCGAAGTGCAAGGCTCGAGACCATGCTGTATTATGACGGTACCCATAACGACAGGGAAAACAGATCAAACAACCAAGTAGCTTGTGATGTTCTCTGTAAACTGCATAACTCTGCTAGCCTGTTTCTCATACCCAAAATATTGCTTTTGTCTGTAATAAAAGTTCCTGCAGGAAGTTTATTTCCAACTAATCTGTACAACAGACTGCTTAAAAACCTTACAGGCTGTAAGTATTGTGAGAAAATCACTTAATCATATTACACCAGCCCTCCCCCTGCACCCACAATCTGTATATTAGGCTAGAAGAAAAGCAAAGGGAAGCAGCAAGGGACAAACCAAGTTTTTCCAGCTCAGATTTTATTGCAAGCAGCATTCACACAGCATCTGGCCTTAATTTCTTCAAACCATTCTGTCTCCTTTGCTATAAGCTTGTGTCCTCGCGGTGGGCCTACAATAAAGCAATAAGGCGAAAGTCCTACACGACGCTGAGCACATATACGGAGTCCATTTACATTTTCTCTACAAGTACTAAATACAGAGTTCAAGATATCAATTCAACTTTGTGGCTGGTTATGAAATAAAAGGATGACAAAAGATAATGATGCCCATAGTTGAGTTATGGGCCAACAACCCACCTGCTTAGTGCACATATTCTGCACTGTTCAGGACAGACAGAAGGATGGACGGACACGAACAGTAAATCTCTCGCATTCTATACTATTATAGCGAAACCCTTTTTGCCGTTGGGCGAATTTCAGTGTAGTTTCACGTGTTATTGTAGGGAAGAACGAATACCCCATGGCAAGCCACACAAAATTTAGTTGTGTTACAACTGTGCAAAACTAGAAGTCTACAGGGAATGCATTCGTCTGCTTGTTTGTGTACCTCTACAAACGCCCTTACTCAGTGACCGAGGTGAAAGTTCAGGAACGCCAACATCTGCCAGCAAAGGAAGACGCGAACTCGAGCGTCTGTTGGTGGTTTACAGGCCTGGCGTTTCCCGCAACGAATGCGGCAACGGCTTCGGGAACCTGATGAAATGCAGATAGTGAATGCATGCAGGACCACACGTTAGACTTGTAATATCATTCGATTGGTAAACTGCGCCTCGACTACGACAAACAAGTATACTCGCGTTGACCCAGCTTTCGCTCGCATAACCAGGTGTAGCCGAACGAAGCCTGATCCATTTTTTTTTTTTTACTGTGCGGGTTCTGTGTTTACTTTGCCCAAACTGCTTTTTGTCTCATGAATAAGTCAATAATTTCACGACTTATGCGGCGGTATACTCATCCACTCGCAACACAACAGGTACTCGCCTCACAAACGCGGAGAAGTACTCGGCTCCAAGCAATCGCGCTTCACTTCTGTAAT